ATCTTAATTACTGAATTGGCACTGTCTTTTTTAACTTAAAGATTCTTTTGACTAGAAGACTCTATGGTGTCTACTCAAGTTTTCATTAGGGGACAAGATAGAACCAGCCCCACTAATTCATTTAAAGGGGCGAGATTAGTGCCTCACAAGTGAGATTGGTGGCCTTATAAAAGAGGCCCAAGGGAGCTTGTGAGGGCTGAAGGGACCCAAGGCCCATGTGAGGACACAGCAAGGTGCCATTTGCGAACATGGAAGCAGCCCTTGCCAGACACTGGATCTGCCAGTGCCTTGATCTTGGACTTCCAGCCACCAGAACTGTGAAAAATAAATACCTGTTGTTTAATACGCCACCCAATCTATGCTATTCTGTTACAGCGGCCTGAGCTAGCTAAGACACCTGGAGACCCCACCGCATTTCAAACATGTTGTCCTTCCTTTCCTGGAAGGTGCAGGTAGGCGCTTCTTGGGGGACTCAGGCTTCATGCAGAGATGACAGTTCCTTGGGGTGAGTTTAATGTCGAGGCAGCAGTTACAGTGACGGATGCTGCTCCTGGCGCCTCCGCTGTCCCGGTGTCTGTATTGTGATTCTGGAGTAAAAGGTGATTCATTGGGGATCTGGGACCCAGATGAATGGGCAGGACTCTGACACAGTATAAATGACTCTGCTCCCTGCCCGGAGATCCAAGCAGGGAGGCCGAGCTGTCTTTAGTATCTGCCTGTGCCTCATCGCACAAAACACCTGGGAAGTGGCTCAGGAGTTCAGCGCTACCTGGACAGGCCGCTGCCTTACAGGGAAAGCAGCGTGGGCCGCTGCTGAGGTTGTGCAGCAGTCCGCCCTCATTGGTGTTAGCGGTGGTACCAATAGCCCCCCGAGGTTAGGAGACGCTTTCGCGGATGTTCTCTCCTCTCTGAGCCTGCGCTGAGGCCGGCTCCCGGTTCTTAGTGGTCCACAGCTTACTGACCCTTAGGCTCATGTTCTTCTGCCTAAAACTTGGGTTTATTCATCTCTCCGCGTGTTCTTCTGGGCATTACAGCACATAATGCACGCTTGTGGGGCTTTCTCAGAGAGGCAGCCTCACGTGCCTCCTCCTTCCTCCCATTTGTCACCTTCTACAGAGAATGACACTGGGGACACTGGGAAGGTGTGATTACCTGTCTCCCTGACTAGACGGCAAGCTTCACAGAAGCAAGGATTATCTCGCTCCCAGACACAGCACGGTGCCGGCAAGGCACAGGGCGGTGGCATAAACACAGAAATGGATGATGACTTAACCGGTGAATGATTTATGTAACAAAGCATGCTGGCTGCATCGCTGCTTGTCGGGTGGCGGTGAGCAAATAGAAAGGCTGAGTTCAGCCAAGTGCTGACCAGGCTTGGAGAACTTGCTTTCCATGGCAGAGAAAGGGCATCCACAGTCTTGCATGGTCCAGAATGCACTCTTCATCTGCATGCACTCCTCCCCCTCCTCCTCTTCCATCTCCTCCTCCTCCTCCCAGCAGCAGGCACAACCACCCCCTCATTGTCCCATCAGGAACCTATACAGCATCCTTGACCCCTGCATCTCCCGTCCTGCCCAAATCCAACACCCCACCCCGTCCCCCTAGTGGCTTCTCATCTCCCCCCAGCAATTCTCCAAGCTACTGGCCCCTCTCCACCTCCCTTCTGCCACCTCAGGGGCTCCAGAACCCTCCCCTGGTTCCTCCACAACCCGCCGAATGTCCCCATCCTTTCTCCACGCCAGCCTCCCTCACTCGCCCACTCTGCGGAAATGCACCTCTGACTCTAAAGCCACCGGGGACCTTGTGTGAGAGCCTGCACTTCCAGCCAGCTCCCAGGCGAGGCCACGGCTGCTGGTCCACGGAGTAGCCACATGTTGTGTCTGAAATTTGAATCGAAGGATGTTATTCCCTTCTTGGAAATTCTCCAGCGGCTGTCTGTTGCCCACAGGCACGGTGTCAGCAGTGCTAGTCTTGTGTCCCCCACGCTCCCTGACAGGTTTGCAGCTCCTCAAATCGCTGGGCTCTCTCAGCCCCTGACCTTGCTTGTCAGATGTCACCCAGCCGTCACCCCCTTACCACCTCCCCACCTCCCCACTCCCTCAGTAGGTAAAAGTCACTGTGGGGTCCCCATAGGCTATCTCTCCCAGCCCCCCCCCTCCCCGCCTCAAGGCACCGGTCTGTTCATCTGCCCATCTCCCCGCCTACAGGCAAGAGGACAGCCTGGGGCGGAAGTGCACAGCTGTTCGCTGGGCGAAGGGCGAAGCCCCAGCGGGACCCACCGTCCTCTCCTCTGTCAAACAACAGCTGTCTGCCCACGTGGATTCTACAGGGCCCTGTCAATGGGGTCGCTTCTACTCACTGCATCTCCTAGCTCCTGCCTTTACATTTCTTTGATCTTAAGAACAACACCCTGATTTTGTCTTTGACAGAATCCCCGGGGACTGTCGAGCCTGCAGCCGTTGCCGCACTGGGGCTCCTGCCGCCCTGCACGCCGTCCACTGCGGAGATCCTGGGTGTGGCCTGGCAGCCTCTCCTGGAATCTGCCTCTCCACGCCGCCTTCTGTTCCCCCACAGCTTGCCGGCGACTTTGCGCAGGGAGCCGTGGGGCGCTGAGGATGGGACCGTGACCCAGGAGAAAGCTGCTCCTGCTGCGCAGGGCCGGACGCCTCTGAGAACCAGGGGCCTTACGGGGAACCCAGACTTTTCCAGAGTGATCTAGAGCCACAGAGGCCCAGCTGCTCCTGGGAGTCAGCCAGCTCTCAGCATGGCTGGGAAACTCTGTGAAGTCCCTGTCCCCTTCTCTCCCCATCTCTCTGCTGCCACCACCCCAAGCCACAGTGAGATCCCAAGAAACTTTAAGGCTCAGCCAGGATTGACACCTGTGTTGGCCAAGCCACTCTGCAGTCCCATCCCATGAACTCGGGCTGCATTAGGAAAGGACTGGAGTGCCAAGAGGCAGACAACGTGGGTTCTAATCCCAACCCTTCCATTTGCTACTTGCTGGCCACATGCAATCACTTGTCTTCTCTGGGTCTCTGTTTCCTCATCTGTACAATGGGTTTGTGCACTTTCCCTGTCAGCCCACAGAGTTGTGGTGAGGGTCACATGAGTTGGCAAATGTGAAAGTGCTTATTGAAGTAAAATGGGACCCACAAAGGAAGGGGAAGCTGATGTGTTAATAACAATGAGGACCAGGCCTAAGAAAAGGGACAGCCTTGGCATTTCTTACTCCCCGAGTTCTGGTTGTTTCTGGACCAATCCCCATGTAGACCATCTCATCACTCCACCCCCAGAAGAAAAGTTGGGCACATAAGTTGCTTGACCACATTAGTGTGCATTCATTTAATATATTACCTCCTACACGCATTGTAATTTTTTAATGAATGAAGGCAGGAAACCCAAAGGAAGGAATTGATAATGCAGAAACACAGACAGTGAGACCTGTTTGAGTGGGAACGTTTTGGGGCAGATGCAGGTGGACTCCCTTATAACTCTCAGATCATCTCATCCCATGGGTCACTTAACCCCATCGTCAGGGAAGGTCTGTGCTTTTGTGGGCTGCACTCTTGAACCTCAGCCGGATGCTCAGATCTCTTTTTCATGCTACCGGGGAGCATGCAGATGAAAAGGGTGGTGGAACTGAAACTACCACAGTGAGTGGATCGTTAGGGGATTCTGCCTACGTGTTCCAAGTGATCTACTGGGTGAAGAAGAGGCAGAAATGAACTGTTGCCAGCACTGTGGCCTTTTCTGGAAAGCTGAGAGCCCACACCAGATCCCCAAGACTGTGCAGAGTGAAGGAGAAGAGACTGCCCCCAGTGTGGCCGGGGCAGAAAGGTCTCAGTCCCCCCCGAGGGCCCCCCCAGTCCCTGTGTCTTCTGGCTGTGCCACCTGAGCCATTCCACCCCAGTCTTACTCTTTCAGAGAAAGCCACAGCGTCTCTGCCCCTAAACACCTGAACAGGCCAGGGTCATTGTGAATTGCCCGGGACTGGGCTCTATGGCTGGCAATACAGTCCCAAAGTGGGAATATGACCTTGGAGAAACACAAAACCTGGAAAAAACACAGTCAGCCTTCCTTGAAGAAGTTGGTTTTCCAAACCTCTCCTCAGGATTTTATTAGGTCTTTCAAAGCAAGGAGACAAATAAGTGCATTTTTTTCTCCAGCACATGGGATCACCCTGGACTTGAATCTCAATCCAGCAGAGTCTCGACCCCACGTGGCCCTGCATGTCCTGCGCGCACTACGCCCGGCCTCGGGAGAAGGTTGGCAGGCGCTGCCCTCCGAGGGCGTGGAAGGGCCCGTCCTCTGGCACCCGGTCCCCAGCAAGGTGGCCGCCACCCTCCACCCAGAACGCCTTCTCTTCCTCCCACAGGGCATTCTCTTCCTCCCAGAGGGACTTTTTGTCCTCCCACAGGGCCTTCTCCTCCTCAAGGAGGGCTCTTTCCTCCACCCACAGGGCCTTTTCTTCCTCCCACAGGGCCTTGTCCTCCTGAAGAAGATTCCGGTCTCTTTCCCATAAGGCATTGTCCTCTTTCCAGAAGGCCTTATCCTCCTTCCAGAAGGTACGGTATTTTTTCCAAAAAGTTTTCTCTTCTTCCCGGAAAGATTTTTCCATTTCCCAGAAGGTTTTCTCCTCTTTCCAGAAGGTTTTCTCTTCTTCCCAGAAAGGTCTCTCCTCTTCCCAAAAATCCAAGATCTGGCCCCGGAAAGCACGGATCTTGCCTCGGAAATTCCACATCTCCTCCCTGAAGTCTTCTATTTTCTCACGGAAAATTCTCATCTCTTCCCGAAAAGCCTTTTCCTCCTGCAGCTTGTGGATGAGTTTCTTCCGGCGAATACTGGGAGGGGATGACACCAGGGAGCGGACGCAGGCGAGCCCCATCCATTTGCCCACCTTGAAGGGGAACATCTTCCTCGCCAGCTGGAATGGTGGGGTGGCCGCGATGGAGGACAGGGCCGCTGGCCAAGTCCAGGTCAGCTGGTTAAAAACCCTGTGGGGGGCACCAGAGAGAACAGTCCATGAGTATCACATGCCAGGGGACAGCCCTCGGGTCCATACTGTTCGATTTGGGAAAATTTGACTCCTGCTCTCTTTGTCCTCGTGGTGGCATTTGTGAGGGACAAGCTTTGGTAGAGAAACATGCTGGGTGGTCGTGGCCTTGGGCTGAAGAGTCTGTCAGTACTCATGCTCAAGCCTGTGCCAATTCTCGGCCAACAAAGACAGTGGTTCTAAACCAGGGCATCAGAGCACACAGGTGTGACATGGTAAAAGGTGTGTTGCTAAAAGTCCCACAGCATTTTTAATCTAAGGAAAAAAAAAAAAAAACAACAACAACAACAAAAAAATAAAAGTCCCACAGCATGGAAAGAACTGACTTTTGTTAAATCACTCAGAACTAACTTAAGGTTTTTGCCTTCTCACTTGGGAAGTGCTCACATCCTCCTGGGGTGGGGGTGGGGGACGGATGCTCACAGCAGGGGCCTCACACATGACTGTCCTTTGCTCCAAGCCTCCTGGGACACAGAGAGTGAGGCCCACTGACCTAGTGGAGTCTATTTTAGTAGAAGAGTCTGTTTGGGGAATAGAGGTCTAACACAAAAAGGTGAGAGGCGATGGCAAATGTTGGCGAGGGTGAAGGACAAGAGGACTCTCACACACTGTTGAGTAACGGCTAACAGTTATGAAGACGCCACATTTACCCAGCAGCTCCAGTCCCAGATACAAACCCTGAACTGTGACCAGGATACACATACGAGCATGTTCGAGGAGCTTTGTTCATAAGAGTTCATTACTGGAAACAAGCCAGTGATGGTCACAGTAGAATGGAATAAAAAATGGCGTTATCTCCATGTGCTGGACAGCACAGCTACCTACCACAGCATGGATGAATCTTATAAATGCAATGCAGAAAGAAGCAGGATCAAGGAATTTCAAAGAATAAAGTTCCAAAAGAAGCAAGATTCAACTCCTTTGTTGAGAGGAACATACTTAGGTGATTACACAAAAAAAGAAAAGCAAGGAAGTGTGTCCCAGAGCCAGTTAGTCAGGACAGCAGTTGCTTGTGTGGGGCTGGTTGTGTGGGGCTGGCAGTGTTCTGTGTCTTTGTGTGGGTGGCGGTTTCATGTGTGTCTTTATGAAAATGTGTTAAGCTGTACATGGATACTTTATATGCCCCAGTTAATACAGTATATTACACAATGAAATAAAAGCTGGAGTGGGGAGAGAAATACAGGGGGGAAGAAAAAAAGAAAAAAGGAAACAAGGAAGGAAGGAAATAAAGAAGGAGAAAGAGGGAGAAAGATCTCCAAACCGCTGTCATGTATCTGAGGTGTCAGATGTCAGAACTAGCCACAAAAATTCCAGTAACCGCAAAGGTGGATCGAGGGATGAGAAAAAGGACAGGGCAGGGGCTGGTGGTTGGGGTGCAGGGAAGACCGCAGTGCAGCCAGACACAGGGCGCATGCGCACGGCCAGGGCCGCGGTCTCCATTTTGTGCTTTCTGGAGGAAGCTCCCAGCGTCCGGCCTCACTCAGTGGACCTCAGCAAAGACCACGCTGTGGAGCAACATGAGGCCTTTCGAGGAGGTTGTAGGGGCTTTCCCCGTGTCTTTCCATTTCTAGTTTGGGAGCAGGGAGTGGGGGAGAAGGAAAGGCACACAGCGGGCATTCTCTTGCGTGCGTTGTGCGTGCGTGTGTGTGTGTGCACGCGTACTGTGGGCAGCCACCCAGTCACACAAGCTGGAAACCTAGGGCTCATCCTTGACCTCTTCCTCTCCCTCACAGGCTTTTCATCAACCATCAAGCTCTACTAGGTAACGTTTCTTAAAGCCATATCACCCTCCCATCTGCCCCCTACGCTGTAGCCCTAGGGCATTTCCAAAACACTGTCCCATCATCTCACACCTGCTTACACCCCCTCAAAGACCCCATAGCCCAAATATCAAAACCAAGCACCCTAGTAAGGCCCTGTGCAACCCGACTCCTGCTGTCCTACCCTGTCTCCACTCTAAGATTCGGTGACAGTGAGCTGAATTCAGTTCTCGGGACCCTGTCTGCAGTCGCCTGCCTCTACTCAGAAGCACATGCCATGTCCTGTACTGAGATCACCTTTTCCTCCTCCTGTGGGCTTGAATTCCTGTTCATCCCTGGCCCTCTGAAAACTCCTTGGACCCTCCAGACAAGGTTCTTCACCACTTCCCTGACATCCCTGTCTCGACATATCCTCTAATTAATACTTGTCATGCTTGATTGAAATGATGTGTGGATATGTCATCCTGACATCTCTGTAACCCAGCATCTAATATAAAGCTGTGCATATAGGAGGGAGTTGATAAAAATGTTGGTTGAATTGATCTGAATTTAATTGAAGTTTGGAACTTTGATGTGCTATTATGTCCTATTATGGTTCTTTGTCTAGGATCCCTCAAATATGCTAAGTTCTCCCCCAGTTCCCTGCTGTCCTGCTCTCTCTCTCTCTCTCTAGCCTTGCCTAACCTCGCTTCAGTTCACCTATATGATTCTTCAGGACTCAGATAAGGAGTCACCTCCTTCGAGAAGCCTCTCCTGATGCCCCCTTGCTAAGCTCAGACTGAGTGTAGGCCCCTCCTGTCCTGCTACAAACACCTCATCTCCCATCTCCATGTCCAGCATCTGGTACAATGTCTGGCACAAGATAGATGCTCAGGAAATATCGGCTGAATGAACGACAGTCTCCTGGGTCAGAATGTTGGAAAAAATTCATCTCCAAGTTTTTCTCAAGATACCACTAAACTATTTTTGAGGAAGGATCAAATAAGTACCATATCAAATATGTGGATGTATACTTAGAAATAAAGTACAATATAAAACTAGATGTGCATCTATGTAGATATAAAACATTAATTAAGAAACATGTCTAGGCTTCCTGATTATACTTTAAGACTAGAAACTTGTTATTTATTTATTTATTTATTTTGAGACAGAGTCTCACTCTGTTGCCTGGGCTAGAGTGCTGTGGTGTCAGCCTAGCTCACAGCAACCTCCAACTCCTGGTCTCAAGTGATCCTCCTGCCTCAGCCTCCTGAGTAGCTGGGACTACAGGCATGTGCCACCATGTCCGGCTAATTTTTTCTCTATATATTTTTAGTTGGCCAATTAATTTCTTTCTATTTATAGTAGAGATGGGGTCTCGCTCTTGCTCAGGCTGGTTTCAAACTCCTGATCTTGAGCGATCCTCCCACCTCGGTCTCCCCAAGTGCTAGGATTACAGGCGTGAGCCACCGTGCCCGGCTGGAACTTATTTTTAAGGGAAATGTTATATATTACCTCACAACTAGAACAAATACTATACAATCTAAAGCCAACAGTTACCTACTGTTTAGCTGTTTCCCAGCCGGGCAAGTCCTACAGCCCCCAGAGGGCAGGGCACCATTGTCACGTCAGATCCCTAGTGATGCGGGCGCAGGCTCACCCCAACACTGCCTGTGGTGACCCCTGCGGACCACTCCATCCTGCCCCGCAGGATGGAAAGGGCCAGGATGGGACCCTGAACGAGAAACTTGAAGGGAAGGAGAGAGTACCTGAAAGGTTTGAAAGACTTCGCCATCTTCCATCTTTGACTTCACCAGTGGGGTGGTGCAGTTGATGACTCACCAAGGATTGTGACCTCAGATTCTGTCTGGATTGTCTCCAGGAGTGGGATGCTGGGAAACCACTTGCAGTGGGGGATTTGTACGTGGTGAGTTACTTCCCTCACTGCTGTTGAGATTCTTTGTCTTTGTCTTTTGACAGTTTGCTTGTGATATGTCATGGTGTGGATCTCTGAGTTTCTCCTACTTGGAGTTTGGTGAGCTTCTTGGATATACAGATTTGATGCAGTTTTTCATCAAATTTGAAAGTTTTGGGCCATTATTTGGCAGATGTCATGGGCTGAGTTGTGTCTCCCTGCAAATTCATATGCTGAAGTCCTAACCCCAGTACCCCAGTACCTCAGAATGTGACTGCATTTGAGATAGAACCTTTAAAGAGGTAATGGAGGCTGGGCGCAGTGGCTCACACCTGTAATCCTAGTGGTCTGGGAGGCCGAGGCAGGAGGACTGCTTGAGGTCAGTCTGAGACCAGCCTGAACAACAGCAAGATCAGATCTCTATCAAAAATAGAAAAATTAGCTGGATGTGGTGGTGCATACCTATAGTTCCATCTACTCGGGAAGCTGAAGCAGAAGGATCACATGAGTCCAGGAGTTTGAGGCTGCAATGATGCCACTGCAGTCTACCTGGGGCAGGAGAAGGAAAGACGAGAGAAAGAAAGAAAGGATGGGAGGAAAGAGTAAGAAAGGGGGAGAGAGAGAGGGAAGAAGGAAGGAAAGAGAAAAGAAAAAAGAAATAAAGAAAAAAGAAGAAGTAATGGAGTTAAAATGAAGCCAACAGAGTGGGCCTTAGTCCAATATAATGGGTGTCTTTAAAAGAAGAGGAAATTAGGACACAGACACACTCAGAGGCAAGACCATGTGAAGACACAGGGAGAAGGTGGCCATCTGCAAGACACAGGCAGAGGCCTCATAAGGCACCTCCTACTGACACCTTGATTTTGGACTTGCAGCCTCTAGAACTGTGAGAAAATAAATTACTGTTGTTTGAATGACCCCATCAGTAGTACTTTGTTAGGGCAGCCATAGCAGACTAATACAGCAGGAATTTCTATTTTGTTTCATTCCCAGCACTTAGAACAGTGTCTGGCACATAGCTCACATAATTTTTGACTGACTAAATGGAGTTTCTAATAAGAAGCAAGGGAAAAGATCTCTACTTGCAGGTTTTCTCTCTACATATGTGTGATTTCTATTCTTTTACTCCTTCCCATTACACTTTTTATCCTAGAAAAGTTTTCATCCTTGCCTTCCCCAGTTTCTTCTTCCAGTGAAGGAAGCACTTTTCCTCATCTTGCCTGTTTCTGGGGACATTCTCTACATCCTGTTTGCCTCTGCGAGTTCCTCGGGATCTTTGTTCTTCGTGGTTGTGGCAGATTGGATTTTCCAAAGATGGCCTTAATATCCCCCGTCCATATGCTCTTCTTACACTGTGACTTTGCCAATGCCCCATCAAGAGGCAAAGTTGTCCCTTCCCCTTCAACCTAGGTGGGCCTTTGGTTGCTTCAACCACCAGAGCACAGGAAAACTGGTGGTGTCCTGAACAGCAGGTGCTGAAGCCTTTTCAACCAGCCAGCTGGAGTGTTTAACTGCTCCCAACTCCATGCTCATAGCCTGAAACAGCCATAGAGGGATTATTTATATCATGAGATATAAATGCTACAAATATATGGCAAATGCTACAAGTCACACACACACACACACACACACACACACACACACACACACACACACCCTTGTGTGCCTTTCCTTCTCACACAGCTGGTTGATAAACACCAGCAAATCACTGTTTCTGAGGCTAGATCATAAAAGGTGATAGTTTCTTCTTGTTCTCTTAGTACAACTGTTAGTTAGTACAATTCCAGCCCACATGTGGTAAAGAAGCCCAGGGTACATGAAAAAGTCACATGCAGTTCTGGCTCATGCTCCCAGCTGAGGTCCTAGCCACAGCTAGCATCAGCTGCTGCTGTACATGTGAGTGAGGATACCTTCAGATGACAGCAACCCCAGCCATTGTCTCATTCATGTGAGCGACCCAAGTGAAAACCTCCCAGCTGAGCCCTGCCAACCCCTAGAACTGACAGAGATAATAAATGATCATTGTTCTTTATACTCCTTAGCTTGGAGAGTTTACACAGCACTAGATAATCAGAACAGTGATACCTGCTCTTTTCTTCACTATGGGATCATAAGTTAAAGCAAAGGAAAATGCATCCGTTTAACATTTTAAAAAATGTTATATCCATTTTATTTGATGAATCTTCATGCTCAGTGTGAGATTCAGTCATTTTTACATTCATTCATTTATTCCACAAATGTTAGCTGAGTGCTAAATAAGTAACAAACCCTGTGCTTATTGTTAAGGATTAGAGGAGCTCACAAATGGAGAAAAAATGGAAACAACAAAATACAAAAATAGTGTGGAAAACACCATAGAAGTGTGTCCAGCATACACTGGGGGTACATGAAGGACAAAGGGATCAACTTTCTTGATTGGAGGTGCACAGAAAGCAGGAGACAGTCAAATAATATTTCATAAAGGATGTCTGGGTTGAGACCTGAAAGCTGTATGGGTTTCCAGGTTCCTAGTGGGAAGGGTTTCCAAGATAGAGAGCAGCCCATAAGAAAGGTGTGGGAGCTGCAGAGATCAGATCCTTAAGCCCTTGTTTTGCATGACTGGACCTTTTAATGCTAGAGAGTTGTAGAAAGATTTATGAGTGGGCAGGTGCATGTTGAACCATGTTGAGAATTACCAGGCTGGACAGATAAGCAGAAACCAAGTTATAAAGATGTTTGATTCTGTCCTGAGAAAAAATTCTTGGTAAAATATGAATTAATATTATTTTAAATGTATTACAAATCAGCAAACAACATCATGCTTAATGATAAAACACTCAGGGCTATGTGTCCGTAATTGCACATTGATTTAATGGTACCAAACAGCTACCGCTGCTATCTATTCCGATTGGTGCCCCCATTCTCATTGGTCAGGGCCCTTGTTCAGTTTTTAAATATTAAAAAAAATTATTCCTGAAAATATTATTAAAATCAAGAACAAGACAAAGTGGAAAGCACTCACAATTTTGTATACAGTAGCCAATATATTAGACAAGGAAATAAAACGAGAGGTACAAATATTAGAAAGGAAGAAATCATCATTATTTATATATGAGAGAGAGAATCACTTAAAATTTTAGAATTGATAACAATCAGGAAGAAATAAGAGTAGAATGCCAATTCTCCCCAAATTTATCTATAAACTTAATGCAATCTCACACAAAATTACCAAAGGTTCCTCCCATCCTCCAGGGGAAACTTGACTAAATAACCACCTTATAAAAAGTAATCCGGAAAAATAAATATCTGAGAAAGATTAGGAAGAGCCAGCTGCTACAATGTCTTCTGCCTTAGAACCCCAGCTAGGAGACAGCCAGGTGCCAAGGCTGGGAAAGGCAACCGTTTCTCAATGCGACAACCGGGGCACACCAAAAAGCGGACTGCAGGAGGCGGTGGGATCCAGGGCAAAGAGCCCCCAGCAGGTGGCGCTGTGCATCTCCCCAATCCTGACACACGCCCACAAGTTAGGGACAAGAAGACAGGCATTGTTCCTTTACTCAAGCCCATGCTAAGGTGCCACTGTTGAGTAAGAGCCCTGAGTAAATGGGCTGAGGCTGGAAACCTGACAGCCTGTGCAGGGGCATGCCCACGCATCCTCCCAGGGGGCCCTGGGACGCTGAACTTGGCCCTGAAGGAGACCCTGGGATTTTCCCAGAGCACCCTGGACAACTGCCGGCTCCACAGAGGCCCTTAGACTCCCTCCAACCCCCCAGCAGTCAGTGTGTTTATAAAATTGTGGTAAAATACACATAACTTCAAACTTACCATCTTAACCATTTTTAAGTGTATAGTTCAATAGTGTCAAGTGGATTCACGTTGTTGTGCAATCTCTTTTTTGTCTTGTAAAACTGGAAATCCATACTTAATAAACAATAACTCCTCATTCTCTCTTCCCCTCAGCCTTGGCAACCACCACTCTGCACCATCTCTATGAAAGGAGACTATTCTATGTACTTCACATGAGTAGGATCACATAGTATTTGCCTTTTAGTGACTGGCTTATTTCACTTGGCATGGTGACCTCAATATTCATCTAGTTTGTAGCACAGGTCAAGTGTTGACTGTTGTTTAATTCTTCTTCTTCTGGACTATGAACTAGTTTAGGACTCAGACATCCTGTTTCTCTTTTTTCTTAAATTATCTTCAGGAAAATTATAACGCTGACAAAAGTGAAAAAGGAAATGAAAGCTTCTATTGAAACTTTGACTCAGGTAGAAGAACCTTTTGACTCGGGTAGAAGTTCAAACGAGGGACCCTGACGCTCTTCTCCCAAATTAGGAAGCTTTCAGGATAGTAGATGGTAAATATAGAGAAAATTACTGAAATAGAAGAGTAACAGAATGAAAAACTCTCCAAAGGAAGCATGAAGAGAATGAGAATGGTTACACAGAACGAATTTATTTGGGAATAAAACACAAGAAAAGACAAAAACAATAACAATCTTTTGCATAATCTCGGGGAAGAGAGAGAGAGTGAGCACTTGTTCGTGTCCATTGGCTTTCTGATCACTCCTGATGAGGGGTGCACAGCTTGGTCTTTGGGCAACTTTAGTCTCTCCTTTCATTTGTACAGTTCTGTCAAGAAGTCAGGCATATCGTCAGTAGTAACTCACAGACTCCTTTGTAATTAAATTCAGGCACGCACTCATTAACTCATTTGAATTAAAATTCCTTACGGAATACATTGGATTTTATGAAATAATCCTTTTATTCGGTGTCTGGCTTGGAGTAAGCAGTATTTGTTCAATGAATGAATGAACTCACTTTTACCAGCAGGGCCACCTCAACTAACAACATACATAAAAAAATTGATACTCTGAATTCAACTTTCACTCAATTCTACTATCATTTCCCTAAGATGCCCTTTGTTCATATGGCAATAGGGCAGTGAGACAGAGCATGGACTCTGTATCACACAGTGCCTGAGTTTAAATTCATCACACACTTCGTAGCTATGCAGCCTTAATCTCTCTGTGCCTCATGCTCTTCATCTGTGAAATGGGGATATCAGCAGTACCTACCTTGCTTTGGGCAGCAGTTCCAGCAGTGTTTTTCCAACCATAGGGACAGCAGCTGCTTCCACAGTCAGCTGCTAATCTCTGGGTTACCCCCACCACTCCCAGGAAGACTGCCCCTATCACCTGAAATGCTGTCTGTTTTGACCCCTGGGCTGAAAGACACCAGCTCCAGGCCAGGCTGTTTGTCACCATGTGCTCCCTGATGCCGCCATCACAGCTGGGAATCCTTAAGGCTCTGGCCTTGCTGCTCACAACCACTCTACTTCAACATGCTCAGTGTGAGAAGAGATTCAAGTACAGTCATGCGTCACCAAACAATGGGAACACGTTCTGAGAAATGCATTGTTAGATAATTTTGTCCATGTGTGAACATCACGGAGTGTATTTACACAAACCTAAATGGTGTAACCTATTGTACACCTAGGCTAGATGGTATCTTTCTCCTGGGCTACAGCCCTGTACTGGGCTACAGCCCTGTACGGCACATAACTGTACTGAATACTGTAGGCAATTGTAACACAATGAGGAGTATCTGCATATCTAAGCATAGAAAAGGTAGCGTATAAAGGATTTTTTAAATGGTACATCTTTCCCATGAACAGAGCTTGCACAACTGCAAATTGCCCTGGGTGAGTCAGTGAGCAGAGAGTGACTGTGAAGGCCAGGACTTCACTGCACACCACTGTAGACTTTATAAACACGGTGAGTTTAGGCTACACTACTTTTATAACAAATATTTTTCTTTCTTCAAGGATAAATTAACCTTAGCATACTGTAACTTTTTTTTACTTTATATACTTTTTAATTTTTTTTGAAACTTTTTGACTCTTTTGTAATAACACTTAGCTTAAAACACAGTGTGTAGCCATACAGAAATATTTTCTTTCTTTATATCCTTATTCTATAAGCTTTTTCCGTTTTGACTTTTTTTTTTTTTACTTTTTAAATTTTTGTTAAAAACTAAGAAGCAAACACACACACACTAGTCTACACCTACACAGGGGCAGGATCATCAATGCCACTGTCTTCCACCTTCACATCTTGTCCCACTGGAAGGTCTTGTGGGACAAAAACATGCATGGAACTGTCATCTCCTGTGATAATGATGCCTTCTTTTGGAATACCTCCTGAAGGACCTGCCTGAGGCGGTTACAGTTAACTTTTTAAAAAATATATAAAATAGAAGGAGTGCACTCTAAAATAATAAAGCAAAGTATGGTATAGTAAATACATAAGCCAGCAGCAAAGCCATTTACTATCATGACCAAGTATGCTGTACTGTACATACTGGCATGTGGTAGGCGTTTATACGACTGACAGCGCAGTAGGCTAGTTTACACCCGCGTCACCACCGAGAGGAATGTGTTGCAATATGACATCACTAGGCAGTAGGAAAATTTCCACTTCATTATAATCTTATGGGACCACCGTAGTATATGTGATCGGTCCTTGAAAGAAACGTCCTTACGTGCCTACACATCCTTTCCTCCAGCGAGGCCCCTCCCTTCCTGCTCCTGTGCCCCACGCCCCACGTGGAGTGCTGTGGTCAGTGCGGATTCAGGGCCGGGAAAGCGGCCTAGGGCGCAGGATGTAAGGAGGCTCCACGCGCAGGCCGTGCAAGTGCAGGGGTGGCCTTGAATCCCAGCAGCCCCTTACGGTGTCTGCTAATCGTCTCACCCAGTCCTGTCCCTGTAGACCTGCCTTTTCCACTAAAACAACAACAAAAAGCGTAGAATGCCAGGGTTGGAGGATGCGTTTAATGTCACGTGATGCCACTATTCCTCAAAGTCCGGTCCATGGAGCACCCACCGGAGACTTAGCAGAGTCTAAAATGCAGATTCTGGAGCCAAGCCCAGACCTACGGTTCACAGTCTTTGGGAGGTGGGGAATCTGCATTTTAGCAGCGTCTCAGCACTTCTTTATAAATCGACGGTGGAGAACTTCTGCTACTTGCTGCTTGCTTGCAAGGGCGACACAGCCCCACAAACGGCCTGTTCCCTGTTCCATGTCTAAGACGGCAGCTGTTAGAAAGTTTATTCCTGAAAGAGCCCCGTTCTGCGTCCCTGTAACTTCACTCCGCCTCCCATGTGGCATCTGGATTGGGGGCGGGGAGGGTCCTTTTACTCCCCGTGCACGGGGCAGTCCTCAAGTACACGGGCACCTGCCACGTCCCCAGCGCGCGTGGATGGCGCACCCCCACCCTCCTTCCCAAGCCAGCCCGTGCAGCCCGCTCTTGCTCGAGCGCCCCGCCACGCGGCGCGGCCACCAAAGCCGGAGCGCCCTCCCCGGCTGCTGCGCCGCCCCCTCGCGGCCGGGCCGCTCCGGGTGCGCGCGCCGGCGGGGCGCAGACCCACGCGGGGGAGGGGGCGGGGCAGGGTATCCGCCCCGCGAGGGGGAGCCGCGAGGTGCTGTCGTGCTGCGGGAGACAACTCCGAAGCGAGGAAGAGACTCCGCGAGCGGCGGCGGGGAGGGCAGCCGCGAGCAAGGGGAGCCCCACCGAGCTGGCCCTGCCCGCCTCTGGGTGCGCATCGCCGTCCGCTGGGAAGGTGAGTCGGGACGCTCTGTGCAGCCTGCAAAGTTGGAGAGACACTCCTAGCAGACGGGTTCTCGGACTCATTCGTGGGAAGAGGACAGTGTGCTGCTCATTCATGCTTCCTGGAAGGGAAATGAGTGCACTGTGGAAGTGCTTGTCTTAACTGTGCGGAGAGAAAGGAAACAATCTGCGCCGAGTCTAAAGAAAATGGTTTTCCTAGCAGAGGGGACAGCGTTGAAGGAGCGATGGCCTGCGGGGCGGGGGCGTGCTATGCTGGGCTGCCAGGAACAGCTTGCGGACCACAGGGCAGCGAGTGGCCATCACAGACTGTCACCTCCGTGCCTTACCTAGTGGGTCTCTGAGCAGGTGCCTTTGACTTGTCATTTTTAAAGTGTGGTAGAGCTCAACTGAAGTACATTTTTCATTTCACGGGAGCCAAACAATGAAGGAACCCTAGGGAGGTGGTGGAACCCCTCTTGGACACAGTAGGGACACATGAATCCAGTCGCCTCCACTGGATTCATAAATGAGGGCATAGTGAGGGGAGGAAACAGCACGGGATACACAGCTACAGAGAAGGAAGGGTCGTGTCCTGAGCACCCCAAACATTTGTTGAAACGAGTCAGCAATAGGTTAACAGCTTTAAAGGAGCAGATACGGAGACGGTTAATGTCTAACATTCAATGTTTATTCAAAAGCAAGCAATGAGCTTTTCACATCTACTTTAGGAATGAGCAGTTTCATTTACCAGGGCAATCACTAAAAACGCAATCACCCCGTCAGAGATGTGTTGCTGCTTCAGGTTGGAGCTTTGGGGCAAAAATAAGTAACGCTAAATGCTGACCCAGTGCTACATGTTAAAAACTTACACACCTACACACGCAGGTTCACTGTCGATTTATGACACAAATCAGAGGTTCAACACAAAGTAGTATTTTATAAATGTGAACACTAAAACTGGGAATGTTAGATATAAAAGAGTTTCTCAGACCTAATACTACTGACATTTTGGATCAGATAATGCTTTCTTGTGGGGCACTGCTCTGTTTCTTGTAGGATGATTAGCACATTTCTAGCCTCTCTTTTTCACAGCCCTTGTACCAGTCATGACTATTAAAAATATCTCCAGATATTCCCAAATGTCTCTTAGGGGGCAAATCACCTCTTGTTGGGGTGATTTGAACCACTGAGATATACCAAGTGGAATGAAAATTGAAAATGTGTTGAGAATGTCATTTGGCAATGTTTATTGATTAACTCCTTTCCTGCCTTTTATCATCACTCAGCTTCTAGGAGAGGGAGCAAGAAGGGCTATTATCACACCTTTATGGGTGCAGAAGTGAGTGTGAGACACACAATCCTATCACAGGCATACACAAGGGTGGGCTTCTAAGTCACTGTTCTCACTGGAGAGAAGGTACTTGCCCAGCCTACAACTTTAACCTCTTCCTGTTTCAAATTTCTACCAAATAAGAAAACTTTCTACCAAGTAAGAAAAATGTGCGTTTTCTTATTACACAGAATTTTTAGAAATTGACTAAAAGCTGTGTCATTACTGCCAACATTGGCATGGATCCACTCGACTGAGGTGTCCTGTATTTGAGGGACCCTCTCTCTCTCTTAGAGGAGCTGCCATTTGAAAAGGCTAGGGGGAGTGTGTGATTGTGTTTTGTGAGTTTTTCAAATTTCCACCATAATAGTGAATAGGTCTTTTTGTAGTATATTTGAATCTGTAAATTCACACAGTGATTTCAGTGAATAAAAAGGCAGATTCACTGCTAGTTTCTCAAATTGCAGCTTTCTTTGTGGGCTTTGAATTGAAATAAATCCATATTTTAGGTCATAAAAACAAATTCACAAACAGGAACATACAACTGGAAATAAGCTTAGAAAGAATGTACAATATTACTGGCAATGAAAATTGTAAGTTAGAAGTATTAATTTCCACTTTTGCCTATGAAAGGAGTAAAAAAAAATGCTTTAGTCTCTCTCTAACACCCAGTGCTGGCTAGGGCGTGGTGAAACCAGCACTGTCATGTTGCTGTTGGCACTGGAAATGGATACAGCTTCTTTCAAAGTCAATTTTATCTCAAAAACCAAAAAATTCCTTGTGCTTTTTAAATAAATAATGATTTATTCCAAGAGAGCTATCTAATGCATGAAAAAAAAGCAATTTTTCATGGAGAGGCATGTCTCTTAGGATTAGTTATAATAGTGAAAAGTAAATATCCAACAGGATGTGGTTAAATATAGTTTGATATAGCCTACTCTGTGGAATATGGTTCATCTGTGAAAATGATAGTTATGAAGACCACATAGAAACAGAAAGAATCCTCATGTCCAAATGTAAAGTGTTCGTTTAAAATGTGTGTGCACGTCTGTACGTAACATATGTGCATATACATATGTATGTACTTAAAAGAAAAGCTCCAAAATAGTATGACTTGTTGGGCTAGAAGTTCTGCAGTTGTTTTTAATGACAGATAATTTTCTTTTCTCTATGATTGAATTTTTTTCTGCTAATTTACTTTCATAATTTTAAAGAAAATATTCCAGAAGAGAAAAATACTCCCCACCACCATCATATCATCTCTCTCTTTTTCGTTTTTGCTCCCTGGTAGACTTACTTCTTCCTGGTTATTGATGCCCCTACAAGCTATTTTTGAAAAAAAATTCTGGACTTTTGAAAAACAATTAAGCTACTTTTCAAATAATGCTTCTTAAATGTTAAAAGATTTTAAATAAGAAATTTTAAATTATAAAGGTAAAACATAGAAGCCTGAGTTGCCTAATGGATAAAACATTGGCCTCCTAAAGGTAAAACGTGCTCATGGGGAAAAACCAAGGCAATATTAGGGTATAGAGTGGAAGTGAAAATAGTCCCTGCCTCCAGCACTTTCTTCCCTACCCCAGACCTGGTGACCCCATTTCCCTGTACCTTTCTCAGCAGGCAACAGTTATTCACAGTGGCTTGGTGCATTTGCTTCTGGTCTTTTCCTATGCCTTCATGTAGACGTGCAGACGTTATTACATGAGTGACATCATATTATATATATATATCACCCTGCATACACAAATTGTGACAGATTGTGCTGAATCCCTTACCAAACAAGTGGCACCCATTTGCATTCTCACTGACACTATGTCCTTAGCCCTGTTTCCTTCCCTCCTCCCTAAAATCCTAAACTCTTTAATCTTTGCCAATTGGATAGGTGAAAAATGACACCTCATGGCTGTTTTAACTAACATTGTATTCCATGTAAGTGAAGTTGAACACAATATGCCATGTTTCCTGGCCAGCATTTGGGACTCTATGTGGGAATTCCGTCTTCCTTCCCCTTCTGGTGGGGTGCCAAAGCTGAGCTCTACTGTCACAGCTACCTGTCTCTTAGGGAGTGTTCTTTAGGGCATGAGAGAACTAACAGCACATCATTCTTTTTTTTAGTTCTCACCCATCTTGCCAGTTTATGAAAATAATAGGCTTGAAGGAATAAGAATTGCCTCATTTATAAAATAGATCTGATACCTACGCCTTGTGTTGCTTGGTTCTGCTGGTTACCACCTCATTGGTTCTAATATTATTACGAATAAGGATATCATTGCTTTTTTAATTGATGTTTCTACCATTGTTTGCACGTAGTGGCTAAAAAGATCAGCCAATTTGGGATACTTGAATTTTGAAAAGTCTATGTGCAGCCTGATACTGCTTTTTGTAGCAGAACATCCTTCTTCAGGATTCTCGGGAAACTACAGCATGTGCCTTGGCTTGTATCCCAGTGGCCCAAGGTACAAACGCGTTGTTATAAAGCGACACAGACAAACACAGATGGTGTCCACAAAGCTACTGGGGATTTAAAGACTGGAGTGCCTTGGGTTGTGGGTGTGAAAGAAGCAATTCGGCGTGTTTCAGAGAAAATGTATAAATCAGTGGCAACTCCGCTGTACAAGTATGAGCAGCTTGCTCTTGTTTCTCTTCCCTGTGTTACGTCCCTTCTGTAACGCAGGAGGAAAACGTTGTGGCTCATGGTTAGAAGATGTGAGGTCCACACCCACCCCTGAGAAGAAAAGTCTGCTAGCTTCTATATCGCATATCCGTACAGCAGCCCAGGTAGAGGGCCTGGGTTGTCACAGTTTGCCAGTCCTAACTGCGACAGAGGGCCACAGTTTGCCAGTCCTAAACGCCACAGGGGCTGTGAGAGCAGGGTCGTAGCACACGTGGGGCTGAGACTCGGGATGACGGGCGTGTAGGCGCTGGGGACTTGCTCTGTAAGGTTGCCGGGGACCCCAGAAGCCCCAGCAGGCCCGGAGCGAGCGGAGGGGCCTCCTCACAGGACAAGAGCCAGCGCTCCGTGTCTCACGTGAGGCGCCCTCCTTTTCACCCAAGAAGAGTGAGGAACCCATCTTCTGGGCCGTGAGGAGCCCTGACGGGCCGTACTTCTCCTGCTCCAGGTAACTGGGCTTGTCCTCGGTAAAGGAGGGTTGCTTTTTGCAGACGGGGTTTTAAGTGGCTCGGCGTATAGAGCACTCACTGCTGTGGCAATCGACCTCACCAAGTGTGGCCATCGATAATACATCTGTAAGTGGTGCAGTGGCCTTTTGTCCATGAGTCGGGGCCTACTTTCGGTTTCACAAAGATGTGTGCACTCGGCAAACTCCATTGGGCCAGAGAACGGGTCTAGTTTCACCTTGGCCCTTGAAAAAGCCACGCACAGGGATGGGGAAGGAAGCTGTTCTTTGCTCAGGGCTGCCAGTTTCCTGATCTTCTGTGTGTACGGACACCACAGCCACAATTTTTGCAAAGACATTGTGGCAAAAACAGAGCCTTGTGAAGGGACAGTAGAATAGTAGTTTGTGGAATTATTCAATCCAATCTAGCTGCATGATCTTGGGCGAGTCCTTAACTTTCTGATCCTCAGTTTCCTCACCTGTAAAATGGGGATAATAATCCTTACCTGGTTGAGTAAGATCGTGCATGCACAGGGCCGATCAAGAAGGTACAGTGATCCCCTTGCGCAGCTCCTGCCTCACTTGAGGAAGCCTTTTCTTTCTAGGTTTCTTCCCCTTTGTTCTTGCTCTGGGGTGAGGGGAAGAGATTGTGGGGTTTGAAGTCACAGAGACTTGGTTTTCACATAGTCACAGAAGCCTCATTTTCAATCCCTGTTCTGCCACTTACCAGCTGGGTGACTTTGAGCAAGCGAATTAATCTGAATCTCGGTTTTCTCTGGAAAACGGGGGCATGCCTGCCCCTGGGGCAGCTGGGGGGATGAAATGAGGTAACGAGGGGAAGACCTAGGCCGGCGCTGGTGCTGCCCCTCTGGCTGGGGACTGTCCCATCTCCCTTCACGCTGCCTCCCCGCACAGGAAAGGCCCTGCAGACCCCAGAGCCAGGCTTCGGCCATGACATGGCCCAGAAGCATGGTGACGGGGAATAAAACCCCATGTCGCATTCTCATCCTGGGAGCCTAGAGCTCTGGCCGAGTCCCCCTGCCTGTGAGCTAGCAGAGGGTCGGGCGGCTGCAGAGAGAAGCTACCAGAGGAAGAGCTGCCCGTGGTATGGCCTCCTGGCCTCACCCGCGCCCACTGGCAGTGGAAGAAATTGCAGTGAGCTGCGCTCTGCCCAGAGCCAGCTGTCCCCTTGTCATCATCCCCACCTCTGTCCCCGAACCACAAGTCCTCCCCATCCCCACCTACTCCCCCCACCCCCCACCCTCCACCGCACTAAGGCTGGTTCGTTCAGGAGGACATGAAGGCAGCGCTTCCCAGATGCTGGGTCCCCTGGCTTGCAGCCCCGGGCAGGACGGTGGAAACTGCGCTTTCAAAGGGAGCCACCTCCTCAGGACAGGATCCTGGACAGGCTTTGGGCTTTGGGTAGGAAGTCAGCATGTTTGCCCCAGGCCCTGTCTGGACCCGCTAGCCCCCAGGGAGGCTCACTCCCAACAAGAAAATAGGAAGTGGTAGAACTGTCCACTCCCAGGCCTCAGGGACAAAGGGGACAAAGGGATGCCCCTCCTCTCCTGCTCTCTCTACAGGGCTACCCCATTGGTGCAAGAAAATCTGCTACCTTGATGGGTTGGATTTTTGTTGTGAGTTTAAAATTTATGGCTATTTCTTCCAAGGAAGGGAAACTCTTTCCCACGGTGCCAACTACCTCGCTCAGACCACACGGTCCGCAGGGAGGGCTGAAGCCTAGCCAGGCCCCTCGGTCTCAGTGCAGCCTGCTCTGGTCAAGTCCACGGCTCCCTCCCACCTCGGGCGCTAGGAGAGCGGAGCACCAGGCATGTGTCTGGAAGTGAGAGGGGCTCCAGCAGCTACACCCAGATCCGTAACATACCTCGACCAAATTTGGGCTCTGCCAGTTGCCAGCTCTGGCTTTAGGGTGAATCTTAACCTGAGTTTCCAAGGCTCTATCTGTGAAATGGAGTCAATAAAACCTCCCAGGGGGGATTGTTGTGGGATTAAATAGGAGGCGATGTATATAAAAAGCTAGCACATATGCATTGTGGAAATGGGGAAAAAAGAAAAGAAAAACAAATAAAAACTATTAAAAAAATTGAAAAAAATAAAAAATACATATAAAGAGCTAACACAATGCCTAGCATGCTGCCACTGCTCAATGAGTGATGGTTACTCTCATCTCCTCCTCCAGGACTTGTGTCTTCCTGTCTGGGTGTCTCGGGGTGAGCCCCCTCAGCCTCTCTGAGCTGGGTTCCCTCCTCTGTGAAATAAGAGTTGTTTCTCTATATAACAGATATAACTGTTCTCACCACTGACAAGGCCACACCTGCAAACAGACCAGGGTGGACTCTGGCACCCAGACCCCCAGGCTGACCAAGGCCACCCTGCACAGGCCGCAGCTGGCACGCCTCCAGGTATCTGTTGGTACTGAGCAAATCCTTCTACCAATCTTTCTAATGGATTATTTTCCATCCCCAGGACTTTGTCAGCCAGCAAGAACGATGCCAGGAGGTCTGGAGAAGGCGTGTCATCAGTGCATTTCTAAAATCGCCAGCAATGGTGAGTCACAGTGCTAAGAAATGCCCTGGTTTTGGAGGATTTGGGGATCACATGATGAGCTAAAGCCAGAGGGGGTCATATGGACGGTCTGAGCTTGGCTCAGGGTGGGGCTGGCATAGAGATGGGGTGGACAGAGTCCTGCCCTCTGTTGGCGGCCTTCCCCTTCTACTCGTTACCTATTGATCTTAGGGATGGCTCAGAGGGCCGCCTCCCTTCGCCCCGGGAGCTGGAGCACCGCTGTGGGGGCAGGGTGGGCGGCCGTGCTGAGCCCCTGCCCCGAGGCTCTGGTGCTCGGCGGGATGGAGACACACAGGTTGCTTTACCGCCATGGGGAAAGGAGACACCACTGGCTCTACCGCTGCTCTGTATCCTCCTGAAACTGACTCCCCACCCGACATACGCATCCTACCTGTTCGTACAAGAGCCCCGACCAGGTTAGCAAGAGAGGAAGTATGCTTTCAGGGTTTCCCAGAAAGGGCGTGTTTCCTGGCTGCATAGTAAATCCACTGGCCATTAACGCCTCGAGTGCCCTTGAAGGTGACACAAGACTGCTGTGGCCCTGCCCTAGCCATGGTGTCCTTGATCCCCGAAGGAGATCTCCCTGCTTGTGAGAACAACTCCACCTTCCGGCTGGATGATGGCGAGGCCTCCTCGCTGTCCTCCCGCCTCTTGCCTCATTTCCTTGGCATCCTCCAGGGAGGTCCCTTGCTGCGCGACGACTTTTGGTTCCTGCAGAACAGAGTGGACGCTTCAGATCTCCCTTTGTGATCTGGCCCCTGCTTATCTCTTATATCACTTCTTCTTTCCCTTCTCGCCCTGGAAAATCCAGCTGGATGAAAACATTTTAGCTTCCCTAAAAACACCAGGTTCTCTTCGTCCCCTGGATCTTTGAAAATGCGTTTCTTTGCCCAGATTTTGCTTTCTCCCACCTGCCCCTCAGATAAAGGTTGGACCGGGCAAGAATGATCAATTGATGCTAAGTCTAAGAGGAAACGTCTATGGCAAGCAGGATGTTTGCATTGTCTTAAAGTCTAGGCTCCTAGCTGTAGGCTCCTTATTGCAAGGGAGAAAAAAAAATAATTACACAGTGTAGAAACTGGGCCAAACTTTGATCAGAGGTTAAAATTAACATCACTAACAAGGGACAGATGGCCATCACCTATGCAGTAATGAGGCCAGGAACGCATAACCTTAATCTAGACACAAAAGGGGACACCTGACAAACCCAAGATGAGGAATGTTCTGTTAAGAAGAACAGAGAGGACTGTATTCTTTGAAAATGTCGACATCATAGAAAATAAAGAATGGCTGTGGAAATGTTCTAGATTCAATGGGGGTGTCTTACCAAAGACTGGGTCATTTACAATGAACAGAAATGTATTAGCTCACGGTCATGGAGGCTGGGAAGTCCAAGATCGAGGGTTCAGGATCTGGCGAGGGCCTTCTTGCTGCATCATCACATGGGGGACAGAGAGAGAGAAACGGGGTGGACGCCCTCTTTTATAACAAACCCACTCCCATGGTGACAGCAGCAATCTAGTCGTCCGCCCTCGTGGCTCAGTCACCTCTCATTAGGCCTCACCCCCCAGTGCTGCTGCATGGGGGGTCAGGCTTCCAACGTATGAGCTTTGGGGACACGTTCAAACCATAGCAGGGGCAAAGGAGATGTGACACCAAAATGCAACACCTCACCTACGTTGGATCCAGGGACTTTATTAGGTCAACCTTGAAATATGGATGGTAGATGAAAGGATCAACTTAAGAAGCTGCCACTGCACTAAGGTTAGGTGAGACGGCATCTTTGTACTTAAGAAATGCACACTGGGATGATTTCCAACTAAAAACTTTAAAACCTCAAAACTAAAAGCCATGCAGACAAAAACCTGAGTGGCAGGTATCTCCATGTTTGTTCTGTTACTCTCTATACTTTTATGAATGTTTAAGAATTTTCACAGTTAGTGTTCCTTTTAGGATTTAGGCTGGGAAAAATTGGCCCCCTTGGCCCAATCCCAAACTTCATAAAACAGTGCACTAGATGCATGTGTTTATGTTTCTAGTGCACATACACCATGGTGTTTTCCTTTCGAGTGACTTTTAAATTTTCTTCCGTATTATTTTCCGCATCTTCCACATTTCCTATAAATCTACATACTTATAGATCGGGGGAAAAGTCATGTTTTAAGAACAATCTTCAGCTATCCCCTTAGGTTGATTTGTGGCTGTCCCTGTCCACGGGTGGAGTTAGCTAAGTGTTGGGGCCCCAGAGGAGTGGCCTGTCCATCTGGGTGTCCGTCAAGGGAGCAGGGTGGTCTCCGTGCCCTAGACCCCAGCGAGCCACCTGGAGGAACTTTCTGGAGCTCTCCTGGGCCACTGTGCAGCCCTGGCCCTCGGCCTCCCCATCTGGCATGTTCTCTCTGCCCAGCTCTCTCTCTGATGCGGAACATTTGCTTCCCTGCGCCCTGCCGGTGCCCTGGAGGGTCACTCCCATGACGGGGCAGCAGTGGAATCTTGATGGATGCGTGCGCAGCGTGCGCAGCGGCCTGCGGCCCTCACAGGATAGCTCAATTAAACAGACAAGCGTGGTGATCCCGGGTCATTGCACCTGTCGGGGGGGCCCGGGAAGCCCTCTTCAACTCCACGTGGAGACAACAGCAGGTCAGAGCCCAGTTTCAGGGGGACACAGGGACACAGGCCTTCCACCCAAGCCTGGAAGGCAGGGCCGTGACCCTGGGTGGTGCTTGCAGCACCCCAGAGAGGAGAGAGGCTCACGCAACTCAGCATACTGAATAGAGAGTGGCAGGTTTTATTCTGCAATTCTGGCAATGAGAAATAGTGCATTTTAGAAAAAAAAAATTGTTTAATGTACTTTCCAAACTTTAAAACTTCTCTAAATAAAATTAATCTGACTCCAAGCTCCCACTTGTCAGAGTAACATGAAAATCAATCCTGGGCGTTGCGGCTCCCAGAGAATTCGGGTGTGGAAGTCGGGGAGGGGATGGAGGTCACCTCTTTCGTGGGTCTGGGGCAGGGGGTGCCCCTGCTCTGTGGCAAGGCCATTAGGAGCCTCTGCAGACCCTTTGTGCAACTTTTAAAAAGGTGTCCTCCTAGTAGTGGTGGCTTCAAGGACACACAGGTTAGGAAAGATGGTGCTTTTGGTGGAAGAAAAGGTGCCCTTCTTCCATGCAAGGGGGATTTTCCTCTCCCTTCACTCACCCCCTTAGCCTCACAAAGGCCCCCTCTTCACTGCACCAACCGCGCAGCAGCACACACTGTCCTTGCCGTTGGGCCAGCACCGGTGCCAAGCCAGGCAGGTCAGGGTCTTTACAAGCCCCGGGGCTGGGTGTCCCTCCCCAGGCAGGTCAGGGTCTTTATAAGCCTGGGCGCTGGGTGTCCCTCCCCAGGCGCGCCTTGTAGCAATTCCCTCTGGGCGCTGCAAGGAAGGAGCCACAACCACAGGTTCCATCAGAGAACTCCATTCGCATTGGCTGCCCCTCCGCTGCTCCTGCCCGGTCCCTCCTCCCTGGGACAGTCCCAGAGAACTGCTGTCAGTGGGCTCCAGGGAGCACAAGGTCTCCATCTCTTTTCAGGCATCAGGGAAAGAGTTGGCAGCACCAGTATGTGAGGAAGGGCCCAGCATTTCCTACTCACTCATCCTGTTCAGGTGTAACCGAAAACCTTTAGAAAGTGAAGAAAGCGGGCAATGAAGGAGGTTTTGGACACTCCTGGAGCCCTGGAATCCCAGGTTCCCGTGAGTTCACCTGGCATGTTACATGCAGTGAATTCTGAAACATGTTCTTTCCCCAAAGCCCTGCCTCTTTCCATCCCACATTTCTGTCAACGGCTCTACCATTCTTGTCACCCGAGCACAGCGCATGAGTCATTTTTAACTCCATTTTCTCTTCATTCCCACACCTGGCTGGCTCTTGGGGCCCTCCCCGAGCCTTGGGGACTGCTCTTGGGGCCAAATTTTGGATGTGCCTCCTGCGTGGTCTCTGCCCCCAGCACCACCCCCAGGTTTGGCCCCAGGTTCCCAAAGGTTCGACTTTGATTATGTCACCTCCCAACTCCAAATCTATAGGAAGTCTGTTCCTAGAATCCATAAAGCAGATTAGGTGCTAAAAAAAAAAAATCCCGTCTCATACAAACTGCTGCTGACCAAGCTCCCTGGGGAGTGGCGGGAGGCTGTGGGACGGGGCGATGCAGGGTGCTGGGTCCGGGTGTTGGGAAGAGGGGTGCGTGGGAAACATGGGGCAGAGACAGAACTGCTGGATGTAGCAGGAGAGGACAGGGTGTCACCGCAGACACGGGGAAGTGCAGAGAGAAGTTTAGCTGGAGTTTATCCTCAGGCACTCTTTGCCAGTTGCCTCCTGGGCATTTGGGAGCTCAGTGGAAGCCCCGAAGGGTGGTGTTGCAGAGAAAAACTATATAGAGTCCTCTTCTGGGTTTCTGCACTTAACTGTTTAAGCAAAAGATCAGGGACACATTTGCTATAGATAGGAGACAGATTCTGGAGAGCAAATTCACCCCAAAGCTCCTCGCTCTTCCTACTGACACTACACATTTAAAATGCTTTTAATGCTGCTGGCTACCCATTAGCACCTGCTAACATGCCTGTACCTCTCACAGTCCCGGCAGCTGCCAGCAGCAGTGGTGAGAGCCATCCACAAATAAATCCACTTCCAAACGGGAGCGAGAGTCCTGAGCTGGTAATCCACAAACTGTCCTCAGGAGGGCGCCCTTCCCAACGATCTGTCTGTCTGGAACTTTCACAAAGTCCGGCATCAGTTTAGCTGTGTTCTTGGCATAAAGAATGATTTGGCTCCAACGTTCCGATTCTAATACTCTCGCACGATTGCTGAAGCGTTTTCTCCCTCGGGCCCCTCAGTTGATTTAGTTCTGTCACTCAGCTCTTTCAAACTGACTTTATAGGTGAAAACTTTTGTTTTATCAGAAGCCAGAATGTGGCTCCGAGTTGCATTGGAGTCGGTGCTTAATAAATTCGAAGGCAGAGCACTTTTAACAAGCAGTGGCCACTGCTGTCAAACTGCCGCTGTGGCCACAGCAGCATCACCAGGAAACTCAGCGTCTGTTCCAGAGAGCGCCAGTGACCGAGGGCTGGGCAACGAGACGCCCCAGGAGGCAGGAGCCGGGGAGAGGTGGGGATCCCCAATCCCTGGCTGCGGCTGGGTGTCCTTATTAGGACTGAGTGGTAAAGAATCTCTAGTGCTGCGAACTACCCGTGACTTCTGTCCCAGTGGGTCCCACAGCAGAGCCCAGTGCCTGCGCCTCACTCTGCCCGGAGCAAACAGGCTCCAGGAGGACTCTGAAGAGTCTCCATCCCGGCTCACAGAGAGGCGGCTACTTCACGCTCCCCTGGGAGTTGCTTCAAATGCAGATTCCCAGGCCCTGGTTGTAGTGACTCCAGTCTGTTAGGGATAGAGTGGCCACCGAGACTCTGAGAATGGTGGCCCTGAGGTTAACGGAGTGATACTGAGCCTTATTAGACCTGACTATGACGACCTGGAGGGGCTGACGCTAATGAAAAGCCCCTGAGGACAGGGATTTGATTTATTTAACACAAGTTAATGAAGACCCAAAGCAGTGGCAAAACCTGAATGCTTTTATACTGGGCTGAACAAAGACAGGCAATTGTGGAAAAGTAATCGCCAGCTCTGTGGGGAGGCTGAAGGGAGATAAGAATGATTTCCACAAGATCTATTTGTACAGAATTCTCTTGGCCCCAATTTCCCATCCTTGATGATAAGAATGTTACTTTCATTTACTATAGGGAGGATGTCTTCTATGTGGGGGTTTTATTTCCCTGGTTGAAGAAGAAAAAAGAGAGGATCAGGGTGCTTTTCTTGCACTTGCTATTTTTTTTAAATGTCTTTAGCTCAAAATATTCTGTATGCCAAAGTGGCATAGTCTGGGGTGGCAGAATACTGTCACCATTCAGTAGGAGGCTTGGGTGGCAGGTGCCTCCTCAGGTGGCTGCTCCATGTCTCTGTGTCACTCAACACCTGAGTTACACATGTGGCCAGGTGGCACCATCTGCCCCAAGCCTGTGGCACAGTGAAGGGTTCTCTGGGATGCCAATTGTTTTTTCTCATGTTTGTAACAAGCTCCAAGGACAGAAATAGAAAATGGGATTCAACAGCCCCTTGGTTTTCTACCTTTTACCAATAAGAAATTCCTTCCTTGACCCCTCGTCTAAATCAAACAGATGTAGCTAAATTAACTGAAATTTTCTCCCTAACTGGCCACACCGGCCAGCAGCACTTGTCACCCACAACCGACAGCACCTGCTACGTAATTTGCAGGCCCTGGAACAAACCAAAAATGCAGAGCACCTTGTTCAAAAGGTAAGAAAATAGCACTTGTTCAAGGTACTAAAATGTAAGCTTTTTCCTTTTTGCTGCAATCTGTCTTTTGACCTGTTGCAGTGTTTTTTATGTGCTATTTAACAGCACTTTTCCAGTAGAGGGAAATTACAATTTTAATTATTAGCATAAATTTTACCATTTATCTTGATATTATATAATGCCATTTTTAAATGCACCCATAAGAGCATTTAACTTGTATGTGGAGCCAGGGAAGTGGCACAATTTGTGTTTCATAGCTCTTATATGTGTATTTTGTTTTTACCAAAACAGCAGAACCACTGCCCGGAACTAACTTAATTGTCTTCATTTTGCTTCTTGATGTGGGCACAGTCTCCCCACACTCTCTACCTTCTGCTTACTGATGATTAGCAAGGTCTGCAGAGAAAAGGAGCTGTGGACTGCTCTATCTTTCCCTTCCCTCCACGTCGCCAAGTGCAGGGAAGTAACATGAGTCAGAAGGGAGATGACGGGGCTCCCGGTTGTTCGCGTTTCTGGGCACGCATCGCCTTCTGTCTGCGTCTGCAGCAGTTCTGGTTCCCAGGCAAACGTGCCTCTCGGCTGTCAGCGCCCCGCTCACTCAGCCGAAGACACAGCGGCTCGCCTGGCGCCGGCTTTCAGCGGTGCCGAGTCCCTCCCACGCGTCACGGGCCCACCGGCTTCCACCAACGCAGTGCGCAGATGTGGCAGCAGGGAGCGTCCCGCGGGTGCCTCTGCTGACATGCGTGCTTCACTGCCCCACCAGGCTGCACTCACGGAACTCAAGTTCAAAGATGAAATCACTTAGATTTGCAAGATGGCACCAGGAGAGCTTCACATCAGACGCTGGGCCCTCCTGAGCAGGGGCCGAACGGGTGCACGCCGGAACTCAGACGGGGCTGGTTGGAGGGGGAGTGGACATGGGGTCAGACGGCTCTACGTGCCTGCCCCCTGCACATCTCCTGGAGGTGAAGGTCAAGATGGGCAAGGAGGGTCAGTTCAGAGCTCTGTTATACTGTGCCCATCAGCAAGTTTAGGAGACCACCTGATATCACATGCTGGGGAATGTATAACCAAATCAATGGAAAGGGAAAAAGATTTCCTGAGGCAAATTCCTTGAGTGATAAAGTGAGCTGTCAGTGAATTTTACCCAGGGAAGAGCCATCTGGCCTGGGTACAGGTTCCCAGGAAGCGCGGGGTTGATCCTGCCTGGCTCGGTGATGCCGGAGGCTCCTGGCATCCTGGCACAGGCAGAGCACAGTTTATAAACTCCTTTTCTCTGAGCTGCCAGACTCAGAGAGGTCGTGCAGGAAATCTGGGCCTTAGCATGTTCTGCTCTCTGAAAAATGTAAGTCTCGGTTTGCACCCACCGCGCGGGAGCCCCGGGCAAGCAGCGACCCTCTCCTCCAGTCTGCTGACTCCCCACGGGAGGGGAGGCCAGGTCTCCCGGGATGCGTCGGTAAACTGCAATGAAGAGGAAATGAAAGGGTCGGTGTTTCTAATCCAGCGCCCGCTCCTTCTTCTCCTTGCAGCCTGCTTTGTTTGCGCGCTCTTCGCCTTCCTGGCCCTGCCGCTGGCCATGGCCTTCACAGGTGAGCTGCTGCGCGCCGCAGGGCAGCCGGGCCGGACCCATCAGGCCCAGACACCTACTTGCCATCTCAGAGTGACTTGGCAAGCGTTTAAAAAATACAGATTCCTGTGCTCCATCCTGGGAAATACTGATACGGTACATCTGGGATAGAGACAGACATCTGCTTTTCAAAATCTGTCCCCAGATGATTCCGATCCCTCTAGCCCAGGTTTGGGAGCCACTGGGTTAGAGGTTTCCCAGGGTCCCTTCCCAGTCCCTATGTTCCCATGTGGAAGCCTGTCGTGAGCAGTATGAAAAATGCATCTCGTGCTAGGGTGACGTATGGGCACTCTATGCATTTTTTTTGCTTGCTAAATGAATGAATAAATACTTCCATAGGTCACATAAATTAAACAACCTCCCAATCTAGAAGTGTGAAGAAGAGGGGAGGTGTGGGAAGAGATGGGGTGGGGGAAGCTCCCCGAATAGCTAAAAATCATCCTCATGAGTCAGTGGAATTAATCTCACACTCCTGAACATTGCTAAGGGGGCCCCTGAGCTCTGCATGCAGAACCTAGCCACCCCTATTTACTCAGAGGCCCAGCAGGCCGGGTGCCCTAGGTTCCAAGCTCACAGCATATTGGGGCGGAAATTAAAAGGGCATGGGAGTTGTTGCAAAACAATAACAACAGCAATAACAACAAAACCAGTACCCTAATTGCTTAATGGATATGGGGTTTCCTTCTGGAGTGATGAAAATATTTTGGAGCTAGATAGAGGTAGTGGTCGTACAACATTGTGAATACACTATCACTGACTTGTTCACTTTAAAATGGCTAATTTTTAAAAAATTTAAGATGGTGTAATCCTCCTAATTCAGCCTCCCGAGTAACTGGGACTACAGGCACATGCCATCAGGGTCAGATAAGTTTTTATTATTTATTTATTTATTTGAGACAGAGTCTCGCTTTGTTGCCCAGGCTAGAGTGAGTGCTATGGCATTCAGCCTAGCCCACCAACCTAGCAACCCCAAACTCCTGGGCTCAAGCGATCCTCCTGCCTCAGCCTTCCAAGTAGCTGGGACTACAAGCATGCGCCACCATGCCCAGCTAATTTTTTATATACATATTAGTTGGCCAATTAATTTTCTTTCTATTTATAGTAGAGACGGGGTCTCACTCTTGCTCAGGCTGGTTTCGAACTCCTGACCTCGAGCAATCCACCCACCTCGGCCTCCCAGAGTGCTAGGATTACAGGCATGAACCACCATGCCGGGCCGATTTTTTATTTTTTAATTTTTGTGTAGACACAGATCTCGCTGTGTTACCCAGGCTGGTCTTGAACTCCTGACCTCAAGTAGTCCTTCCAACTCAGGTCTTACCTGAGTTGGGAGGTCCCAACTGACCTCAAGTAGTCCTCCCAAAGTGCTAGGATTACAGGTGTGAGCCACCATGCCTGGACTAAAATGGTTAGTTTTTTGTTATGTGAATCTCACCACCTTCCAAAAAACCAACAATACAAAAAAACTAAAACAGTACCCTTAGATCTGTAAGACAGGGAAGCTGACAGCCTGACAGGAAATAAAAGGATAAAATAAAATTTTGAAGTGTGCAGAGAACTCAAACAACAGAGTAGTCTGGGATTGGTTAGTGTAAGAGCAAATCATTCAACCACTTTAACGGGTCCTGACACTGTCATTATTATAGTGCAGTTCAAAAATTCATGTTTATTAGATGGCTCTGCTCTTTCCAGAAGAGTTTATAAGATAGTAAGTATACCCTGCTTAGGAAGTCAGGGGTACCCTTCAGAGTGTTGTATGCAAAATCTATAGAGTAAGAAGCTTAGGCTTTGGAGCCTGTGGTTTATTATCTTGCAAATGAACTTAACTGGAATGATTCACTTATCCACAAGGTTGCATAAATGAGACAGTCCCACAAGGCCAATTCCCATGGACATTTTACTAAAATCACTACGCCCACTGCAGAAGGGGATTATTGGGAAGTTATTGTTTATGGAGCAACATTGGTTAGAGAGTTTGTGTTTTAGGGGGATGAAAAATTTTGGAAATTGATAGTGGTGATCGTTGCACAAGATAACGAATGCAATAAATGCCACTGAAATGTACATTTAAAATGGTTAAAATGACAGTTTTTTTGCTTAGCTATTTTATCACAATAATAAATGTAACAACAACAAAAAAACCCTGCTACATCTGGTAGCTGTTATCAACTGCACTGGGGAGAGAGTTGTAAAGACAAAAGGAATAATCCTGACACTACAGATCAGACAGAAAGAAAATCTAGAGCTCAGATAGGTCCTAAGCAATATGTGAAGAACACAGGGGGAAAGACAGCTTTTATTAAATTTATTAGGATCTTTTAAAGCCATCTGTGCACTGATTGACTCTCCTGTGAACAGCAGCTGTTTTTATTCATTAGGAATGAGCAGCTATATAAGTCATTACTCAATGTTCATTTCACAGCTGGGTTTTGAATCGAAAGGCAGTTCATACCCAAGAAATCTGGCATCAAGTTCTTAAAGGTCTTTGCGTGCAAAGGTTGTGCTGAGACTTGGGAGGCATGTCCGTCTAATAACGGATGCAGCTAAACAGCAGAGACAGCTCGAAAGCAAGCCTCTAGCTAGGCTGACGATGGGATCAACGTGTGGATTTGACTTTGCTATGGCTGTCTGCATACCTACAAATTTTTGTTAATTTCAATGGAATATGGTGTAGCCGTAAAAAATGGTTTATTTCCTGTGCTTAAGTATCAAGGCACTTATGGGAAATAAAATGTCAAATCAAAGCTGTTTAATGTCATTTAAACAGGAGACTTTGGTTCTGCAGTGAGAATTCCCTTTTTGGGGCCCTGTTGACCATGTATTGGTATTAGTCAGAGAAACCTAACTGTGCTAACAGTCACAAGTTAACCTTGGAATCTCAGTGGCTTAGCACTATAGAGGTTTGTTTCTTGCTTATGCAAATGCCATGACAGACCTGGGGCCTCTCCAAGGCAATGCGATGACTTCATCCTCCAAATTGACTCAATATTGAGAACCAACCCTCTGAACCCATGGTTTCCAGGTCTTTAAAACAGGGAATCAAACCAAGGATTATGTATCAGTTCCTAATGCTTTGGCCCCACCGTGTCCCACAGCCCATTGGTCATAACTGTCACTCAGCCCTCCCATAAGGGGCCGAGTGATGCAGGGGCACAGGATGAGCAATCAGTGTCTCTGCACAGCACAGGCGTGTGTGAGAAGTCAGCGGGAGCCTGGCCGCTTGAGCCAGACGGGTCACTGAGGGAAACAGGCTTTTCTTTTTTATATTTCAAATAGATGCATCATATCATTGGTTAATAATAGGCATAGAAGATAAAGAGCTGAGAAAAGTAGAGAAAGTATTGCTCTAGGAAGAAAACTTACCATTAGAAAAGGTAGGGAAAGCCAGGCGCGGTGGCTTACACCTGTAATCCTAGCACTCTGGGAGGCCGAGGCGGGCGGATTGCTCGAGGTCAGGAGTTCGAAACCAGCCTGAGCAAGAGCGAGACCCCGTCTCTACTATAAATAGAAAGGAATTAATCAGCCAACTAATATATTTAGAAAAAATTAGCCGGGCATGGTGGCGCATGAATGTAGTCCCAGCTACTTGGGAGGCTGAGGCAGTAGGATCGCTTGAGCCCAGGAGACTGAGGTTGCTGTGAGCTAGGCTGATGCCACGGCACTCACTCTAGCCTGGGCAACAAAGCAAGACTCCGTCTCAAAAAAAAATAGAAAAGGTAGGGAAAGCCAGGCACAGTGGCTCACACCTATAATCCCAGCTACCAGGAAACCCTAGCAGGAGGATTACCTTGAGCCCAGGAATTCAAGGCCAGCCTGGGCAACCTAGTAAGACCCTATCTCTACAAAAAATAAACAAATAAATAAAGGAAGGGGTTCTGAGCCGGCTTTAGTAGTATATCTGGTTGCTAAGGATATGTCAGCACACACAGGTTTCCCAGCCTGGCATCTGGCAAGTGAAATGGTCAGTGGTGATAATACAGTGAGTGACATGAATAAAATATCAGCGGGTTCGCTGCACAAGGAGGAAGAGCTCTCTGCCGGCCCCTCCCTGCTACCTGGCCCCTGAAAGAGCCTCACTTTACCCAGTGGATGCATTTTGGAAATGTGACCCACAAATAGAGTGTTCTTTTAAACATATCGAGGAAACTGTGTATTTAAAGGGATTCTTTGTATCCTGAATCCTTGAAAACAGGAACTGTCATACATTGGCTTTTCATGAAAGCAGAGTACAGGCCATGGCGAGTTAATGCCCAGACAAAGTGCAGTGACCCCTGGTCCCTGCCGTCTGATCATGTACTTGCCACCCTTCTGCTGCCAGTGGGCTCTGCTGTGTCAATTCACTGAGCATCTGGGGAACAGGTTGGCAGTGACACATATGGTTGGCATGATTAAGATTTGGGCTTTTGTAGGTATTTTACTCATTTTCCTAACCAGGCTCTATACACTCAAATGCATTTCTCTCAAGCCTCTTCTGTTTGCCCTGCGTAGGAATGAAGTTTTTGGAGGACTGCCCTATACAGCCCCTCATTCCTCTGTATTTGCTAGTGGGCGGGATCGTCGGAACCTTAAAGGTAAAGTATATGTATCTGTTGTTCGTAGTCCTGTAACAGAGTAATCACCCCTCCCCCCATAGATGTGGAAGCGTAAAATTGAGAGTGGGGAATACATAACAGAGAGAATGGCCTGGAAAAAAGGCAAATATCTCTTCTGTCTCTTTAAAACACCCTCCACCCTCCTTTCTGAGAACTAAAACCTGCATCCCTGCCCCAGGCCAGTGGCTCAGAGGAGCAGGGAGAAAGCCTTTTGTTCTTATCCCAGGTGAGAGCCAGACCCCTAGGTGGGCCCAGGTGGGGCTTCCTCTTTGGCAGAGAAGGGAAGATTAGAATATTTAACCACAGTGGCCTAGAACTGAGGCACTCTCTTTAAAAGCTCTGTATTTCTGCTTATGGGCAGGGAATTTGGATTTTGAGAGAAGGTCTACCATTTTCCTTCCTTTGCTGGCAAAGTAATGAACTTCTCTTTCCGTCTCCTCAAACCACTTGTTCTCCTTCTTCTGATGTGGCCTCAGGGACAGGTGCCCAGCTCTCAGTAGCAGCCCTTGTAGAAACTTAGCTTGCAGGCACTGTGGAATGCATCTGTTAATTGTTTGCTACTCACACAAGAGCCAGAAACTTCCCCCCAAGCATGGTTGTTGAAGTGACTGGCTTCAGAGACATGGATCTTTCCAGATGCAGGGTATTCACCCTGGGCTGTGCCTCTTTGCAAGAGCTTCCTTCCTGCTGCGGAGTCCCACGGGTCAACAGGCTTTTGGTCTAACAGTTGATGCACAGGCGTCACTGGCTGCCAGTTATCCTGTTGATTCAGCCAGTGAATTCATGGCCTTTCTCTGCGCTTCTTTTAAGAAAGGTTTCCTGTTGAGGGCAAGAGAGTTGACATTGATTAAGATGTGTTTGATTTAGCAGTTCATATTTTAACTGTACCCCCTAGTTCTCAGTTGACTACCATAGAATTAATTGGCTGCATTTATCAATCAACCATGAAACCCTTATGTCTGGGGGTAGGGGTGCTTCTCTGGGACTCTCAAGTTGTGCAGCTGATTTGCTCATGGGTTGTACTGACATCTGTTTAAACGGAAAAAGCAACTGAAGAAGAAAAAGCAGGGTCAGTCTAGCCTGAAGTTGAGTTTCCAAAATCCCTGGCCCACAGAAATGCCGCACCTACCGAAAGTACCTTAGGGCCACCTCCATGTATCCATGACTCTTCCCGACCATCCGAGCCCAGCTCACAGCTGCCTGCATCAAAAGCTAGAAGACACAAGCATCTGCTTTTCCAAAACGGTTTCATAAAAACAAAGCAATAATGCAAGAGAAAACAGAAGTCAGAGCACCACATATGAAATTTCATGGGGACCCATGGTCCGATTTCTTTGCCAGTGACCCTTCTGGTGCTGGGGTGCTTGAGAAGTTGCTGGCCAGTGGCGTTGGTCATGCTATTGATCTAAGACATCAAAGGAATGTCTTAAAAACTGCTGCTCTCTTTTGCAATTGGTAGCCACAAGCTCACTTCTGTCTTGGGAAATGTCTGATTTGGGGCAAACCCTTGGAGCCTTTTGTCTGGGGTTACTTCCCTGTTAAAAGTCCTCATCTGACAGCAGCTGGTGAGCAATGCTCTGAAATGTACAAACACACACGGTCCCCATAACAACATCCCCATGCAATCCACCAGGGACTCTGTTTAGCTCCAAGGAAACCCAAAGGCTCTTGGTTCAACAGGGCTGCATTTTCCCCCTCGGCCCCCACGGCGTCAGGGGAAGGCTCTGATGGTTTGAGCGCCATAGAGATGCTCAAAACAGGGGCAGAGTTTTCGGCAGTAATTACCTCTGCCCCTCCCTCCCTCACTTGACTTGACGGAGTGGAACTTTTCTTTTAGAGATGTCACTGTCCACGGGGTTTGCTCCTCTTAATAATAGCAAACTTTTCCTTTAGGAAAGCCTGCCCAGAACCCGAGGGTAGTTTATGTTAATGAATAAATGGGGGCCATAATAAACAGCATTGATCTTTTTCTCCCCCTGACAATCTAAAACTGTTTGAGGCGAAATTAAATTTCTGTGCTCATCATAGCAACGTAATACACAGTGAGTCTAAAACCACAAGAGCAGGGGCAGACAGGTTCAGGAAGTCCCTGGAGGCAGGAGTTTGCTTGTGGTGATGGCCCTTTGCATATTTAACCTCAGAATCTGCACATGGAGTCCCGGCATCCTTCGTGACGTCCACAGATGCCATCCTAGTGTCCTGTTTTATGAACAGTAGGCATTTCCTGGAGTTACCAAAAAGAACTGAGGGTCATGACCCAGTACAAGATCATGAAATGAATTTAGGAGGTTGTGACCCGCTTTTTAAAAAAATAACATAAGAAATTAGAGTGCCTAGTAAGTTTCGCATGATACTTACATATGTATACGTGTAGTGTCGGGTGAGTTGACCCTGTGATTTATCATGCACCCTGGGACACTTTGGAGAGTACAAGGGGCTCTAATAATCACCGTGCCAGGACAGCAGCATAGACCAGGACTTCTCTGAGCCAACAAGGACACAAAGTCACCCAGTTACCAGGCCCTGATGTAGAAGGTATTTGTTACCAGGAGCCGTGTTAAAATCAAGTTTCCACTAAACACTGGTTTAGTGACCATTCTCTACCCCACATTCCCGCATCTTCCATACCCCTCTCAGTGGTGACTGCCACCTAGCTGGTGCTGCACGAAGGACTCTGCCCCCATTTGGAACCCAGTCAGCCCTTGCAATGCCCATTTGAGTCAGGTCCTTGCATCAGAAATCAACTCTGGACAGAAAATCAACTCTGGCTAACTGAGGAGGTAATTTATTGGAAGAGCTCACAACCTCAAAGGTTGGTGGAGGAGGAAGGAACCAAGAGGTACCACGTGCCACGGCCCTCTGGGGGCTGGTTCCTGTCATGGTGCTCAAAAACCAGTCCTGGGAGGCAGCCAGACCTGCGGACACGTGGTGGGTGGGGATACCTCCGAGGTGTGGGCCCTGCAAGGAAGGGAGACGGATCTGAGTGACAGAAACCCGAGCTGGACTCCGGGTTCCAGTTCAGATGAGGGAATGGCCGGGCTGGGGGTCAGCCTGACCTCACAGTCCCCCTCGGAGGAGGCCCTGCCCACCTCTCCCTGTGCACCAGGCTCAGAGTATGCCCCCTCTGCCAGGAAGCCCTCCCTGGATGCGTCAGCTCTAGGAGGGTGGCACTCTGGACTCCTCCAAGCTCTTACTTGCCTTTTCTCGTGGGAATGTTCTGCTTCCCAGCCAGGCTACATGTCTTCTAGTGTCCGAACCAGGTATCATTTTTATGATTCCATGTGGGGTGCATGTGCCAGCACAATACAAGGGAAAGCTGGTCCGAGCCTTGCTGCAGCGGTGAGCAGCACCAACTAACCCCTGTCCAAGCCAACGCACACCTCTAAAAGGAAAAGGCCACCGAGGATGCTGACTATGGATTTATGCCTTCATCCTTGCCGCTTCTAATTCTAATTCTTCAAACTTGAATTTCACTGCTCAGTGGCATTTCTAACTAACACCTCTCTCTTTCTCCTCCCTCCCCGCCCCCTGCCACTCCGCCCTGCGACCCTCACTCCCTGCCACGACCCAGGTGTCTCTCCTTCTGTACGACTCCACCAGGATGAGGCGGCTTCTGTCCAAGGCCGTGGTGATCGACGACGATGATGATGATGATGAGTACCCCTGGAGGCGGAATGTGCACAAGTACTACATCCACCTCATCCTCAGTCTCTTCCTCTTCCTCTGGTTCATCCTGGGCAATTACTGGGTCTTTTCTGTGTACCTGCCCGATTTCATTCCCCCTTTCCAGCAGCCTCAGGGCTACTGTGACAAAATCCTGTACCTCTTTGCGGTGGGGGTCCTGGCGCTCAGTCACACCGTGCTGGCCTTGCTCGTCCTGGGCAGCGCTTGTGTCTACGTGTGTTCCAGGGGGAGATTCGCTGCCGATGAAGACTGACAGCCACCCCCTCCAGCACACACGCTCGCGCAGTTTCCGGACAACGGCACACTGGAGGGGTAATAAAACCCTCCCTCCGGGCATTCAAGAACCCACCGATGGACATGCACTGACTAGTGGAGCAGGGGAAGGAAACGCTTGCCTTCCTGGCACTCGGGGAAAGCGCTTTTGCTGGTTCAGAATGGAACTTTGTACTCATAGGAGTCTTCCAAGGGTTTCTTTTTTTGTTTTGTTTTGGAGGGGGATAAAGTGAAGGAGGCAAAGAATAGGAGACCCTTGCATGGTGCGAGTCCCCTGAATGGTACAGGAGCAAGGCTGGTTGTAGTTCCCGCTGCTACTGCTGTTGTCGTTCAACCACAAGCACCGTGATGTCACAGAAAGAATGCAGACTTTCAAACGAGACATAGCCCAGCTTCGCTTGCTGTGATGGCTTTTGGTATTAGAAGGAGAAAGGTGCTGTTTTAATGACTCCAGCTGCCTTTTGGGAAAGTGAAGAGCAATTTCTCCCAACCCCGAATCAGATGGGCTTGATCTGATGGGTGGGGACATCGCAGGGACAGCTGTAAAATCTGCCGAGGTCAGGGAAGCAGCTGCCACCTCGGGGTCTGGGCTGGCCCGCTAGCCCCGCATTTGCTAGCATTCTCCACGGGCTGCTACTGCAAACTCTTTGCTTGGCCTTGACTCTGTTTCTTTCTCTGGCTAGCTGACTGCATCTTTGTGATTTGTGGCTGGCTATGTGGCATGAGCCAGTTTTGTAGGTTTCTGGCCACACTGCATGGGTTGAGGTGCCATCAGTGTAGGGTTTTTTTGGTTTCTGAGCTTAAATATCATATGGTAGCTCCTCTTAGTGTCAGGTTAGGCTTGGGAGCCTTTTGGAAATCAAGATGCCTGGAAGTCTAGGATGACACCAAAGAGCGGCCACGAACCTGCACTCTTGCTGCTGCTGCTGAGAGCTGAAGTTCGTGGGAGCTGTGGAGCTGGGTCATTGTGTTGGTATTGGCAAGTGGGGGACCCTTTTCCCAAGGGACATCCTCAGGCTTTAGAATTTTAGATAAAGACACTGCCGTGTGTCTCTCTAGGAGCAATGCCAGGGGGAGCATGGCACCTGCTTAATTGTGCTTCTCTCTCAGCCACAGGCACAGCCTGTCTGTGTATTTACACGGTGCTGAGCTCCCTCCCCCCCCCTTTTTTTTGCTTTATAATAAAACCAATGCCTGAGTGGCCATCAATGTGAGGCACCTCCCTTTATCAGAAGCATCAGCTCAAACTGGGAGGCTCACTCCTCTCTGTGGCTTTCAGAGAAAAGGACCCCTGAGCCCCGTGGAGACGTGCCACTTGAGTTTGCAAGCACTCCCCAGGCGTCTGTCACCTGGAGTCACGTTTGTCCTCCCAGGTGAGAAGAAGGTGTTTGGTGCGCCCTCTGCTGGGCAAAAGAGGAACAGCCCTTTTCCTGCCCCGGTCCCTCTGGGCAGTTCCTGTTTTCATTTTCACTTGAGCCGTGGAAGAAAACCCCTGGTGTGTGGTTTGTGGATCCTGCCTCACTTGTGATGCCCAATTCCCCCATCGTGCCCCATGTTGCCCTCTCTGTGCTGGGGCTGGGGAGAGGCTGCGGGCTGGGTGTGTGTGCCAGGGGCTCCCCTCCCAGCCTCCTTTCCCCAGGTGATGACTTGTCAGCCACCCCCAGTCATGTAGCCAATGTTCGAACATATGTGAGCAGCAACGACCTGAGCCCAAGGACCCCTGCACATCTCCCGCATGGGAGCGTCTGAGGCTCCTGTCGCTGAGGCCTTGGCAAAGGTGGAAAGAGCCAGTGAAAAACCATGAGTGTAAAAATGTCTGTTAGCAGATGGCAGATATTGGTTAGTGCTTTGGCTACATCAGTAGCTATGTCTCAGATGTTAGAGAGTCCCAGTTTCTGGTAGGCGTGGATATCCCTGGAGTGTGGCAGAAATCTGTATCTTTGCCAGAGGGGTGGTGGACGAAGTGTCCTCATTCTCACAGGTAGCCCCCCTCCCCACCCCCTCCTGCAATGGAGAATGTCGGTCCTAAATGATTGCTACACCTGGACCACGTTTTTGGCTTTGAGTTTCCTTGTCACCCAAGCAGGAAGAAAGATATAATGATCAGTCGTAGGCTGCACACTTTCCCAGGAGTAAAAAATTCTCCCTCTCTGGAGAAACACAGGTTAAGTCTGAAAGATAGTGTTCATGTGCATCGATTCATAGAGGGGACACAGAGTGATTCAGTGGGTGACATCTTTAGCATAGCAGGCTTCGAATGATTGTTTATTAGGGCCTCCCTCAATGGATGGAGAGATGGCTATTAGGAGGTATAGTTCAAGAAAGAAGTTCTGGGGCCAAGGCAAATGGCCTACAACTGTGTGGTTCTTTGAAGTTCTGCTTAATCCAGAGATGACATCAGACTATCTAGGAAGGGATGTACTGCATGGCCTTTAAGTCAGTGGTCTCCACCTTTTTTGTCACCAGGGACTGGTTTCATTGGAGACAATTTTTCCATGGTCGGGGGTTGGGGGAGTGGGGGTGCAGAGCTCAGGTGGTGATGCACAGCCTGTTTCCTAACGGGACACGGACCGGTACTGGTCTGAGGCCCTGGGGTCCGGGACCCAAGCTTTAAGTGATGCCCTGTTAGTATTATTTCTCTCAGCTGGGGGGAAATTTAGGCAGGTGAGTGTAAGCAGCTCCTGGCTGTAATGGCTGGCACGGCCTGAAGAGGGCGTGCTGCACTGGTGAAACGGGCCGTGCATAGCTGCAGACTGGACATGCCCACCCAAGAGTGACCCAGGAGACGGCCATTCCTCCTCTGTGGGAACGTGGCAGGGCAGTGGCCTTCCAGGGGAAATGAACATGAGAACACCTCAACTTTCTGGATGCTATAAAAGCTCAAGGGAACAAATCCATATGACCGGAAGAGATAATCAATTGTTCCCATCCAAAAAAAAGACTGCAGCAAAGATAAGCTGTATGTTGAAGTCTTTTGATTGTATTTGCTACATTGGGCATCATTCTAGAAGTCATTCTTTGCCTGAATCTATAGAAATAACAGTTGAAAGTGGTAAAAGTGGAACCATTTCACTGGTGTCAGTCATACCAGTGGTTTCAAACCTCAGTGAGGAATTAGAACTACCCAGGATTTGTTTCAACTGCAGAATCACAGCGCCCAGGAGTCCTGCTTCGTGAGGCCTCCCTGGTTCTGATTCGGTGGGCCAGAGAACCCCACGTGTGCACTCAGGCCATGAATAAAACGTGGACTGACCCACGTCAGGCCTATGGTGGTTGTCGCCATGAGGACAATGTGATGTGAGTTCAGTCCTTCATGTTATTTCCATCTATTTTAGTATGAGAAGAGGCAAAGTGATCAATAGCTTTCGTTTTTGTATGACTGGATCTTGTGTTTCTTTTCTTTGTGGGCGTGCTGCATTTTTGATGGAATAAACTTCGTGCAATTTGTTCCCCAGTCTCTTCCTTGACTACCCTGGGGGAAGAGAATCCTTGAGATGCTTTGTTTTTTCTTCCAGTGGGTTCCTGAGGGCACACACTCTGTACACAGAAGCTGTCAACCACCAGTGGCCTGCTCTGGGCAAATTTTGGTCCATAAAACTCCTAATCCTCAGGTGGGCAGATGAGTCTGTAGTGGAGATTCTAGAAAAATGAATTAACAGGAAATCCTTCTTAGTGATTCTAGTGATAATTTCTCTTTTTATAAGTATAGAACTAAGAAGAAAACAAATCTCTCTTTTATAGAGATAGAATTTCAATAGATTGCCTTTCTTAGCCTAGTATCATAGCAGCCAAGTTATCCTGGATATCTTGGGAGACAGCATTTTGCCATTACAAGTAGAAGTGAAATAAGAGGGGGGTGTTTTCAAATGCATATGTTGTTTTCTCTAGAACATTTCCTTTATGACATCACGTTTGGAGTTTAAAACTTACTGCATTGTACGGAAGTAAAGCTCTGCTTCATAGGCAAAAGAACAGTATTAAGGGTTTGCACATACAGCATGTTCTAATTGGGCTCCCAAAGACCTCTGTGACTCAAAAAACATGTCTGTGTTCTGATCACGACGTCCTATCACCCCATTGTTGAGGGAGGGGTTCCCTAAATAGTATAAGATGGCTGAACACATGATTACCCACACTGGACACATGAGATTGACAGCAGCTTATTAATCACATAGACTCATGGCCTAGGGGAGGGGGACACAGTGTCAGCAGGGCCATGTGGGGTTGCCCTCAGGAGCACAGAGAACCACTAGGGGCTGTGGGGGAGTAAGAGGGTGCGGTAATCCTGGGATTTCATGGGAGAATGTGACAGGCCTGAGTAATGTCACAGGCTTGCAGGGGGCGGAACCCATTAGGTTGGTGACTGGGTGAGATGCAGCCAGTGCAACTGATAGGGGACTAGCCAGGAGGGGGCCCTGCCTGCTGGGTCAGGGGCATATCTGGTGAGGGCAGGAGAAGTCACAGTTAGGCCTTTGGGACCCTGTGAAGCTCAAAGATGTCAAAGCAGCCTGTGAAATGTTAGGCCTTACCATACACCCTGCCCTTTGACATTTTTCCCTGAGTTATGTAGTCCTGGATTCAAATCTGGCTTTGAATTTTCTCAAATGCAAAGCAGAAAGGGAGATATAATCAATAATTAGATATACACTGTCCATAAATTAAAAGGAAAAAAAAAAACCTTCTCTGCAACCATCAGTAGCCCGATTGGAGCACACTGCCTCCTTCCCGAGCTGCCCCTTCCTGGCCAGCAGCTCTGAGCTCCAGCCTTCCAATGATTTGCCCAAAATTGCCAAACTCTTGCCATCTGAATGGATTCTTCCAAACGGATTTTCTTTTACTCTTTATTTCCTCCTTTGAGTACTCCATCTTCTAAAATGTCCTGTATAGTCTATACTTTTCCATGGCCAAAAGAAAAAAAAAGAAAAAGAAATGAAAGAAAGAAAAAAGAAAAGGAAAACATGGCATAAATCAATTTACAGTTTATAAATTTGTTTACAAGGAAGCCAATTTGGGTTCAATTCCCAAGTCACCGGGGAAAGGAACTATGGCCCAGATTCCCTTGGGATCCCTCTTGTCAGCTCAGTGCCCCCAGCAGCAGGTGTGGCCGCTGATGGCTCACACCTGCACCCTGTCTGGGGGCCTGTCCTGGCTTGACTGGAGCCAGCTGCCAAGGGGTGCCTGGGAGTTACCACTCCCCTCTCCCACGCCTAGTATCCATGGCTAGGGACTGGTGGGGCAGAGGGAGAGAAGGCCCAAGCCCCTTGTTTCAGGGCAGGTCAAACCTGTGTTGTTATCTATTCTCCAGAGCTCCCACAGGAATCAGTTGGAAGCTACCGTCTTCCCTTTTCCTGTCCTCCTTCCATTAGTTTTTGTTTTCCAGACATGCTCTTCTTGACACATCACTTTACACGAAGCCCATCTCAGACTCTGCTTCCAGGGAACCAGCCTAAGACCGAGTTATTTCTCCACAGCTAGAGGCATGAGAGAAATCACTCACATATTGCCTTTTATAATGCCTTTCATTTTCCTAAAATGACTATCTTAAAGCTTTATTTTTATTATAAAAGTGATACCTGCTATGACTAGAAATTCAAACAGTGTCAAAGGGTTTGAAGTAAAACGTAAAAGATTGCAAGACCCACCTCAACCCCCAGTCCCAGTCTCCAAAAAGATTCCAGTGTTTGTTTTTAGTATGCATCCAGAATATGCCATGCATATTTAAGCATAAATATATGCATTTGACATCAATTATGTCAGACTGTAGAACAATATTCATATTCTTCTACAACCTGCTTTTTTCCACTCCTATATCATGGATGTCTTTCCATTATCAATGCAGAAATCTGCCTCAAGCATGACCAGTGTTCAAAGACTTGCTTGAAAAGGCACATTCCCTGTAGCTGGCATGCTCCATCATTTCCGGGAATCCAAGTGGGAAAACCAGTAATGTGAAAATTCATTTTGCCATGTGAGCAACTGAGAGCTCAGTTTGAGAAAATATTTGCCATCCTCCTGTCGTGTACCTAAGTAAACCTCTGACTGAGTCAGAAGTGCTGAGGAAGCTGGTTGCAGAACCTTTGGATTAAGGCATGTGATTCATCTGAGGACACACCTGTCACCAACAATGGATTAAGCTCCTGAGAGAAGAGGGGTGGATTAGGTTATATGTTCTTCCTTATAGTCCCAGGAATATGAGCATCAACAACAAAACCACATACCTGAGGATCAAACTATCCTTTCAGTATGATGTGGGTGTGTGAGCGTGTGTAACTAAGATCTATTAGTCAATGAATACAAGGTGGAGGTGGGACTTGAATATCATAGAAATTATTAAATATATTTTAAGATACATAACAAATAATAATATACCACCACAAGATACCATCTCACACCCATTAAATGGCTACTATTAAAAAAAAAAAAAACCTGGAAAATAACATGTGTTAGTGATGATGTGGAGAATTGGAACCCTTGTGCAATGTGGGTGGGAATGTAAAATGATACAGCCGCTATGGAAAACAGTATGGAGGTTCCTCAAAAAATTAAAAATAGAAGTGCCATATAATCTAGCAATTCCACTTCTGGGTATATTCACAAAAGAATTGAAAGCAGGATCTTGAGATATTTGCACCCCCGTGTTTATAGCAGCATTATCCACAATAGACAGGAGGTGGAAGCAATCTAAGTGTCTATCAACAGATGAACAAAATGTTGTATATTCATGCAACAAAACACTATGTAGCCCTAAAAAGGAAAGAAATTCTGCAATGTGCTACAACACGAGTGAAGCTGGAGGACATTATGCTAACTAAAATAAGCTAGTCACAAAAGGACAAATACTGTATGATTCTACTTATATGAGGTATGAATACTTAGAGTAATCAAACTGATAGAGACAGGAGAATGCTGGTTACCAGGGACTGGGGGGAGGAAATGGGGAGTTAGTGTTCCATCGGGACAGAGTTTCAGTTTGGTAAGATGGAAAGTTCTAGAGATGGATAGTGGTAACGGTTGCACCATCATCTTGTAACTTCATAATGCACTGTACAGTGAAAAATGGTAAATTTTATGTTGTGTGTATTTTACCACAATTTAAACATATATATGTGTATTCCTTATCCTCCCAAGCCTCTGAAGAATGACAGCATTGACCAATATTAAATAGCCGAAGCACAGGGTCACTTGGTCACCCGCGCGTACGCAGGGACACACACTCCCAGGCTGCGACTGAGGGTCCCGATGCCCACCCCCCGTCTCTGAGTGCCGCTGCCTTGGGGCTCGGGGGTGGGAGGAGTGCTGGCAGAGGGAGCCGTGGGACTACAAGCCACCCAGTCACACCCAGGAACAAATCAGCCCACCACACAAGGGGAGGGGATTGCAGTGGAAGTTCCTCGCCCCACGGAAGTTACTAGAAAGAAGAAACTGAGGAGGAGGCGCCATGGGACATCCCCCATCTTCGCAGAAAGGGCCTTCAGCGTGTGGCTCTGCACCCAGACGGTCAGGCTGGAGCCCCGGCTCTGCTCCTGTCCAGACGTGTGGCTGCGACTGCGGACGCGCCGCTCCTCAAATTCTCTGTGCCTGGTGCTCCTCATTTGTAAGGAGGCTAGGACAGGGCTGAGCACACAGTGTGGAGTGTGCGTGTTCGTTAAATAAGAGAAACTTTCCTTTCCTTCATCCTCGCTACTGTACTGTGAGGCCTGTACAGTTACGCTCCCAAGTGGCGGGGAAACTGAGGCTCAGAGAGGTGCAGTGTCTTCTGCGAAGAGGCGACAGCACTGAATGTGGGTCTTCTGACTGGATCCCATTCTCACTGGCCGCCACGCTGGGTGGCACCTGGCCCTGCCCGCGTCGTCGGTGCCCTTGTCCCGGGCGGGTGGCGGCACCAGGCGGTGCAGGAAGGCGGCTGCGCCACATCCGGGCAGCGCCGCGCCCCCAGCGCCTCCTGCCGAGAGCGCAGCCGAAAACCTGCTGCTTCTGCCCTCAGAGCAGAACCGGCCTGCTGTAAAACCAGAGCCCGAGAAACAGGCTTCATAAGAGTTTAAGACCAACACGAGTCACGTTTGTGGGACATCATTTTCATCATCAACGTGACTGAGGACCCATCTACCTGGGTCACTCTGGCCACGCTTTTGGCCCGTCTCACGGCCAATGTGTCCAGTCCTGGGAGGGTAGACAAGGCTGGGGAAGGAAGGGCGCTCTTTGCGTGTTTGCTATCTGAATTAAGTGGATCACGCACACGGCACAACACCAAAGGGCACTCAGTGTGCACGGGGTCTCCCACCTCAGCTCACCCCTGGCAAAGTTCCTGCTAGAGGCCCACACTGTGATTAGCTTCTTGTGAAAGGAAGGAAACCCTTAACTCAAGTGGCTTTGTGCTTTAGGAAGTTGGCTCGGATGGGCAACAGACAACCCTGGGGCAAGTGAGTCTGTACAAGATGGTGTCACCAA